TGCTATCTGACTGACCCAATCACGTGCTATCTGTCTGACCCAATCACGTGCTATCTGACTGACCCAATCACGTGCTATCTGTCTGACCCAATCACGTGCTATCTGTCTGACCCAATCACGTGCTGTCTGTCTGACCCAATCACGTGCTATCTGTCTGACCCAATCACGTGCTGTCTGACCCAATCACGTGCTGTCTGTCTGACCCAATCACGTGCTATCTGTCTGACCCAATCACGTGCTGTCTGACCCAATCACGTGCTATCTGACTGACCCAATCACGTGCTATCTGTCTGACCCAATCACGTGCTATCTGTCTGACCCAATCACGTGCTGTCTGTCTGACCCAATCACGTGCTGTCTGACCCAATCACGTGCTGTCTGTCTGACCCAATCACGTGCTGTCTGTCTGACCAAATCACGTGCTGTCTGACCCAATCACGTGCTATCTGTCTGACCCAATCACGTGCTGTCTGACCCAATCACGTGCTATCTGTCTGACCCAATCACGTGCTATCTGTCTGACCCAATCACGTGCTATCTGTCTGACCCAATCACGTGCTGTCTGTCTGACCCAATCACGTGCTATCTGTCTGACCCAATCACGTGCTATCTGTCTGACCCAATCACGTGCTGTCTGTCTGACCCAATCACGTGCTATCTGTCTGACCCAATCACGTGCTGTCTGACCCAATCACGTGCTATCTGTCTGACCCAATCACGTGCTGTCTGACCCAATCACGTGCTATCTGTCTGACCCAATCACGTGCTATCTGTCTGACCCAATCACGTGCTGTCTGTCTGACCCAATCACGTGCTGTCTGTCTGACCCAATCAAGTGCTATCTGTCTGTTCCAATCACGTGCTGTCTGTCTGACCCAATCACGTGCTGTCTGACCCAATCACGTGCTGTCTGACCCAATCACGTGCTGTCTGACCCAATCACGTGCTATCTGTCTGACCCAATCACGTGCTGTCTGACCCAATCACGTGCTGTCTGTCTGACCCAATCACGTGCTATCTGTCTGACCCAATCACGTGCTATCTGTCTGACCCAATCACGTGCTGTCTGACCCAATCACGTGCTATCTGTCTGACCCAATCACGTGCTGTCTGACCCAATCACGTGCTATCTGTCTGACCCAATCACGTGCTATCTGTCTGACCCAATCACGTGCTGTCTGTCTGACCCAATCACGTGCTGTCTGTCTGACCCAATCACGTGCTGTCTGTCTGACCCAATCAAGTGCTATCTGTCTGTTCCAATCACGTGCTGTCTGTCTGACCCAATCACGTGCTGTCTGACCCAATCACGTGCTGTCTGACCCAATCACGTGCTGTCTGACCCAATCACGTGCTATCTGTCTGACCCAATCACGTGCTGTCTGACCCAATCACGTGCTGTCTGTCTGACCCAATCACGTGCTATCTGTCTGACCCAATCACGTGCTATCTGTCTGACCCAATCACGTGCTGTCTGACCCAATCACGTGCTATCTGTCTGACCCAATCACGTGCTGTCTGTCTGACCCAATCACGTGCTATCTGTCTGACCCAATCACGTGCTATCTGTCTGACCCAATCACGTGCTGTCTGTCTGACCCAATCACGTGCTGTCTGACCCAATCACGTGCTGTCTGTCTGACCCAATCAAGTGCTATCTGTCTGACCCAATCACGTGCTATCTGTCTGACCCAATCACGTGCTGTCTGACCCAATCACGTGCTGTCTGACCCAATCACGTGCTATCTGTCTGACCCAATCACGTGCTGTCTGACCCAATCACGTGCTATCTGTCTGACCCAATCACGTGCTATCTGTCTGACCCAATCACGTGCTGTCTGACCCAATCACGTGCTGTCTGTCTGACCCAATCACGTGCTATCTGTCTGACCCAATCACGTGCTGTCTGTCTGACCCAATCACGTGCTGTCTGACCCAATCAAGTGCTATCTGTCTGACCCAATCACGTGCTGTCTGTCTGACCCAATCACGTGCTGTCTGACCCAATCACGTGCTATCTGTCTGACCCAATCACGTGCTACCTGTCTGACCCAATCACGTGCTATCTGTCTGACCCAATCACGTGCTATCTGTCTGACCCAATCACGTGCTATCTGTCTGACCCAATCACGTGCTATCTGTCTGACCCAATCACGTGCTATCTGTCTGACCCAATCACGTGCTGTCTGACCCAATCAAGTGCTATCTGTCTGACCCAATCACGTGCTGTCTGTCTGACCCAATCAGGTGCTATCTGTCTGACCCAATCACGTGCTGTCTGACCCAATCACGTGCTATCTGACTGACCCAATCACGTGCTATCTGTCTGACCCAATCACGTGCTATCTGACTGACCCAATCACGTGCTATCTGTCTGACCCAATCACGTGCTATCTGTCTGACCCAATCACGTGCTGTCTGTCTGACCCAATCACGTGCTATCTGTCTGACCCAATCACGTGCTGTCTGACCCAATCACGTGCTGTCTGTCTGACCCAATCACGTGCTGTCTGTCTGACCCAATCAGGTGCTATCTGTCTGACCCAATCACGTGCTGTCTGACCCAATCACGTGCTATCTGACTGACCCAATCACGTGCTATCTGTCTGACCCAATCACGTGCTATCTGACTGACCCAATCACGTGCTATCTGTCTGACCCAATCACGTGCTATCTGTCTGACCCAATCACGTGCTGTCTGTCTGACCCAATCACGTGCTATCTGTCTGACCCAATCACGTGCTGTCTGACCCAATCACGTGCTGTCTGTCTGACCCAATCACGTGCTATCTGTCTGACCCAATCACGTGCTGTCTGACCCAATCACGTGCTATCTGACTGACCCAATCACGTGCTATCTGTCTGACCCAATCACGTGCTATCTGTCTGACCCAATCACGTGCTGTCTGTCTGACCCAATCACGTGCTGTCTGACCCAATCACGTGCTGTCTGTCTGACCCAATCACGTGCTGTCTGTCTGACCAAATCACGTGCTGTCTGACCCAATCACGTGCTATCTGTCTGACCCAATCACGTGCTGTCTGACCCAATCACGTGCTATCTGTCTGACCCAATCACGTGCTATCTGTCTGACCCAATCACGTGCTATCTGTCTGACCCAATCACGTGCTGTCTGTCTGACCCAATCACGTGCTATCTGTCTGACCCAATCACGTGCTATCTGTCTGACCCAATCACGTGCTGTCTGTCTGACCCAATCACGTGCTATCTGTCTGACCCAATCACGTGCTGTCTGACCCAATCACGTGCTATCTGTCTGACCCAATCACGTGCTGTCTGACCCAATCACGTGCTATCTGTCTGACCCAATCACGTGCTATCTGTCTGACCCAATCACGTGCTGTCTGTCTGACCCAATCACGTGCTGTCTGTCTGACCCAATCAAGTGCTATCTGTCTGTTCCAATCACGTGCTGTCTGTCTGACCCAATCACGTGCTGTCTGACCCAATCACGTGCTGTCTGACCCAATCACGTGCTGTCTGACCCAATCACGTGCTATCTGTCTGACCCAATCACGTGCTGTCTGACCCAATCACGTGCTGTCTGTCTGACCCAATCACGTGCTATCTGTCTGACCCAATCACGTGCTATCTGTCTGACCCAATCACGTGCTGTCTGACCCAATCACGTGCTATCTGTCTGACCCAATCACGTGCTGTCTGACCCAATCACGTGCTATCTGTCTGACCCAATCACGTGCTATCTGTCTGACCCAATCACGTGCTGTCTGTCTGACCCAATCACGTGCTGTCTGTCTGACCCAATCACGTGCTGTCTGTCTGACCCAATCAAGTGCTATCTGTCTGTTCCAATCACGTGCTGTCTGTCTGACCCAATCACGTGCTGTCTGACCCAATCACGTGCTGTCTGACCCAATCACGTGCTGTCTGACCCAATCACGTGCTATCTGTCTGACCCAATCACGTGCTGTCTGACCCAATCACGTGCTGTCTGTCTGACCCAATCACGTGCTATCTGTCTGACCCAATCACGTGCTATCTGTCTGACCCAATCACGTGCTGTCTGACCCAATCACGTGCTATCTGTCTGACCCAATCACGTGCTGTCTGTCTGACCCAATCACGTGCTATCTGTCTGACCCAATCACGTGCTATCTGTCTGACCCAATCACGTGCTGTCTGTCTGACCCAATCACGTGCTGTCTGACCCAATCACGTGCTGTCTGTCTGACCCAATCAAGTGCTATCTGTCTGACCCAATCACGTGCTATCTGTCTGACCCAATCACGTGCTGTCTGACCCAATCACGTGCTGTCTGACCCAATCACGTGCTATCTGTCTGACCCAATCACGTGCTGTCTGACCCAATCACGTGCTATCTGTCTGACCCAATCACGTGCTATCTGTCTGACCCAATCACGTGCTGTCTGACCCAATCACGTGCTGTCTGTCTGACCCAATCACGTGCTATCTGTCTGACCCAATCACGTGCTGTCTGTCTGACCCAATCACGTGCTGTCTGACCCAATCAAGTGCTATCTGTCTGACCCAATCACGTGCTGTCTGTCTGACCCAATCACGTGCTGTCTGACCCAATCACGTGCTATCTGTCTGACCCAATCACGTGCTACCTGTCTGACCCAATCACGTGCTATCTGTCTGACCAAATCACGTGCTATCTGTCTGACCCAATCACGTGCTATCTGTCTGACCCAATCACGTGCTATCTGTCTGACCCAATCACGTGCTATCTGACTGACCCAATCACGTGCTATCTGACCCAATCACGTGCTGTCTGACCCAATCACGTGCTATCTGTCTGACCCAATCACGTGCTATCTGTCTGACCCAATCACGTGCTATCTGTCTGACCCAATCACGTGCTGTCCGTCTGACCCAATCACGTGCTATCTGACTGACCCAATCACGTGCTATCTGTCTGACCCAATCACGTGCTATCTGACTGACCCAATCACGTGCTATCTGTCTGACCCAATCACGTGCTATCTGTCTACAGGAGGCCAGCGTGTCCTGGTGGTATTTCATATCAAAGATCGTCGAGTTGCTGGACACGGTGAGTAGCTTCCCTTGTGTGGGTTACACTACACTCTAGAACTGGTTAGAGTGAGACAGCAGACGTTAAAAAGAAACTATTAAACAATTTTCCGCAACTCTTAGTGCCTCTGATTTTTAAATTATTTTATTAGTTACTTCCCCTGTTTAGGTTTTTACAGAATAACATGTAGATTTTAGAAATAGTCAACAAATATTGCTCGCACTGAGAGCTAAGATCCCCAGTCATTAAAGTACCTTGATGAAAGTCTAATGCCGAGCGTCTAATTAGTTTCCCTCCCCTCCCCAGGCGTTCTTCATCCTGCGCAAGAAAAACGGTCAGGTGACGTTTCTCCACGTCTACCATCACAGCACCATGACCGTCCTGTGCTGGTACGCTGCCAAGTACGTCCCTGGGGGCGAAAGTAGGTCTCATTTACACAGCTTTTATACCGCACATTTACATCACCATTTACATGCTCAATTTAGCTCAACATTTAAATCATCATTTACACGACCCATTTACCTAAATTAAACAGGTCATTTACATCATTACATAGCTCATTTACACAACGTATTTACGTCGTCATTTACACTGTCTATTTACACCAGCATGTACACATCTTATTTACAACAGCATCTACGCAGATTTACATCACCCATTTACATGACCCACTTACATTATCATTTACATCAATTATATAGCGCATTTATGTAATTTATATAGCCTAATTACATCATCATTTACATTTTTCTAATTGACCATATATTGGACTCTGGAAGGTAAGATGAAGGGGACATAACCAGGTAGAGAACCTGTGCTATGTTTTATTAAGATCGATTGGACTTGAGAGCAATCAAACTTATTGACAGATTTAACATACATATTGCTGGCATGCATGATTTGAATTGACCTGTAAGGTATGCCACGTATTCCAACATCTGTAAGACGTGGTTTAATTACAGTCTCAGCAAGACTCAACCAGCATGTATGTTGTAGCATTTAAAAACTCCCTCACATTTTGAATAAATTTTTTGTTTCAGAGTTTTATAACAGTGGGCCCAAGATCCATGTTTTTATTCCAGAGTTTTATAACGGCGGGTTCAACAGCCTGATCTATGTTTTTATTCCAGAGTTTTATAACGGCGGGTTCAACAGTCTGATCCAATCCATGTTTTTATTCCAGAGTTTTATAACGGCGGGTTCAACAGTCTGATCCATGTTTTTATTCCAGAGTTTTATAACGGCGGGTTCATGATCCATGTTTTTATTCCAGAGTTTTATAACGGAGGGTTCAACAGTCTGATCCATGTTTTTATTCCAGAGTTTTATAACGGCGGGTTCAACAGTCTGATCCATGTTTTTATTCCAGAGTTTTATAACGGCGGGTTCAACAGTCTGATCCATGTTTTTATTCCAGAGTTTTATAACGGCGGGTTCATGATCCATGTTTTTATTCCAGAGTTTTATAACGGCGGGTTCAACAGTCTGATCCATGTTTTTATTCCAGAGTTTTATAACGGCGGGTTCAACAGTCTGATCCAATCCATGTTTTTATTCCAGAGTTTTATAACGGCGGGTTCAACAGCCTGATCCAATCCATGTTTTTATTCCAGAGTTTTATAATGGCGGGTTCATGATCCATGTTTTTATTCCAGAGTTTTATAACGGCGGGTTCAACAGTCTGATCCAATCCATGTTTTTATTCCAGAGTTTTATAATGGCGGGTTCAAGATCCATGTTTTTATTCCAGAGTTTTATAATGGCGGGTTCAACAGTCTGATCCATGTTTTTATTCCAGAGTTTTATAACGGCGGGTTCAACAGTCTGATCCAATCCATGTTTTTATTCCAGAGTTTTATAACGGCGGGTTCAACAGCCTGATCCAATCCATGTTTTTATTCCAGAGTTTTATAATGGCGGGTTCATGATCCATGTTTTTATTCCAGAGTTTTATAACGGCGGGTTCAACAGTCTGATCCAATCCATGTTTTTATTCCAGAGTTTTATAACGGCCGGTTCAACAGTCTGATCCATGTTTTTATTCCAGAGTTTTATAACGTCGGGTTCAACAGCCTGATTCATGTTTTTATTCCAGAGTTTTATAACGGCGGGTTCAACAGTCTGATCCAATCCATGTTTTTATTCCAGAGTTTTATAACGGCGGGTTCAACAGTCTGATCCATGTTTTTATTCCAGAGTTTTATAATGGCGGGTTCATGATCCATGTTTTTATTCCAGAGTTTTATAACGGCGGGTTCAACAGTCTGATCCATGTTTTTATTCCAGAGTTTTATAACGGCGGGTTCAACAGTCTGATCCATGTTTTTATTCCAGAGTTTTATAACGGCGGGTTCAACAGTCTGATCCATGTTTTTATTCCAGAGTTTTATAACGGCGGGTTCAACAGTCTGATCCAATCCATGTTTTTATTCCAGAGTTTTATAACGGCGGGTTCAACAGTCTGATCCATGTTTTTATTCCAGAGTTTTATAACGGCGGGTTCAACAGTCTGATCCATGTTTTCATTCCAGAGTTTTATAATGGCGGGTTCAACAGTCTGATCCAATCCATGTTTTTATTCCAGAGTTTTATAACGGCGGGTTCAACAGTCTGATCCATGTTTTTATTCCAGAGTTTTATAACGGCGGGTTCAACAGTCTGATCCAATCCATGTTTTTATTCCAGAGTTTTATAACGGCGGGTTCAACAGTCTGATCCAATCCATGTTTTTATTCCAGAGTTTTATAACGGCGGGTTCAACAGTCTGATCCAATCCATGTTTTTATTCCAGAGTTTTATAACGGCGGGTTCAACAGTCTGATCCATGTTTTTATTCCAGAGTTTTATAACGGCGGGTTCAACAGCCTGATCCATGTTTTTATTCCAGAGTTTTATAACGGCGGGTTCAACAGTCTGATCCAATCCATGTTTTTATTCCAGAGTTTTATAATGGCGGGTTCATGATCCATGTTTTTATTCCAGAGTTTTATAACGGCGGGTTCAACAGTCTGATCCATGTTTTTATTCCAGAGTTTTATAATGGCGGGTTCATGATCCATGTTTTTATTCCAGAGTTTTATAACGGCGGGTTCAACAGTCTGATCCATGTTTTTATTCCAGAGTTTTATAATGGCGGGTTCATGATCCATGTTTTTATTCCAGAGTTTTATAACGGCGGGTTCAACAGTCTGATCCATGTTTTTATTCCAGAGTTTTATAACGGCGGGTTTAACAGTCTGATCCATGTTTTTATTCCAGAGTTTTATAATGGCGGGTTCATGATCCATGTTTTTATTCCAGAGTTTTATAACGGCGGGTTCAACAGCCTGATCCATGTTTTTATTCCAGAGTTTTATTACGGCGGGTTCAACAGTCTGATCCAATCCATGTTTTTATTCCAGAGTTTTATAACGGCGGGTTCAACAGTCTGATCCATGTTTTTATTCCAGAGTTTTATAACGGCGGGTTCAACAGTCTGATCCATGTTTTTATTCCAGAGTTTTATAACGGCGGGTTCAACAGTCTGATCCATGTTTTTATTCCAGAGTTTTATAACGGCGGGTTCAACAGTCTGATCCATGTTTTTATTCCAGAGTTTTATAACGGCAGGTTCAACAGTCTGATCCATGTTTTTATTCCAGAGTTTTATAACGGCGGGTTGAACAGTCTGATCCATGTTTTTATTCCAGAGTTTTATAACGGCGGGTTCATGATCCATGTTTTTATTCCAGAGTTTTATAACGGCGGGTTCAACAGTCTGATCCATGTTTTTATTCCAGAGTTTTATAACGGCGGGTTCAACAGTCTGATCCATGTTTTTATTCCAGAGTTTTATAACGGCGGGTTCAACAGTCTGATCCATGTTTTTATTCCAGAGTTTTATAACGGCGGGTTCAACAGTCTGATCCATGTTTTTATTCCAGAGTTTTATAACGGCGGGTTCAACAGTCTGATCCAATCCATGTTTTTATTCCAGAGTTTTATAACGGCGGGTTTAACAGTCTGATCCATGTTTTTATTCCAGAGTTTTATAACGGCGGGTTCAACAGTCTGATCCATGTTTTTATTCCAGAGTTTTATAACGGCGGGTTCAACAGTCTGATCCATGTTTTCATTCCAGAGTTTTATAATGGCGGGTTCATGATCCATGTTTTTATTCCAGAGTTTTATAACGGCGGGTTCAACAGTCTGATCCAATCCATGTTTTTATTCCAGAGTTTTATAACGGCGGGTTCAACAGTCTGATCCATGTTTTTATTCCAGAGTTTTATAACGGCGGGTTCAACAGTCTGATCCATGTTTTTATTCCAGAGTTTTATAACGGCAGGTTCAACAGTCTGATCCATGTTTTTATTCCAGAGTTTTATAACGGCGGGTTGAACAGTCTGATCCATGTTTTTATTCCAGAGTTTTATAACGGCGGGTTCATGATCCATGTTTTTATTCCAGAGTTTTATAACGGCGGGTTCAACAGTCTGATCCATGTTTTTATTCCAGAGTTTTATAACGGCGGGTTCAACAGTCTGATCCATGTTTTTATTCCAGAGTTTTATAACGGCGGGTTCAACAGTCTGATCCATGTTTTTATTCCAGAGTTTTATAACGGCGGGTTCAACAGTCTGATCCATGTTTTTATTCCAGAGTTTTATAACGGCGGGTTCAACAGTCTGATCCAATCCATGTTTTTATTCCAGAGTTTTATAACGGCGGGTTTAACAGTCTGATCCATGTTTTTATTCCAGAGTTTTATAACGGCGGGTTCAACAGTCTGATCCATGTTTTTATTCCAGAGTTTTATAACGGCGGGTTCAACAGTCTGATCCATGTTTTCATTCCAGAGTTTTATAATGGCGGGTTCATGATCCATGTTTTTATTCCAGAGTTTTATAACGGCGGGTTCAACAGTCTGATCCAATCCATGTTTTTATTCCAGAGTTTTATAACGGCGGGTTTAACAGTCTGATCCATGTTTTTATTCCAGAGTTTTATAACGGCGGGTTCAACAGCCTGATCCATGTTTTTATTCCAGAGTTTTATAACGGCGGGTTCAACAGCCTGATCCATGTTTTTATTCCAGAGTTTTATAACGGCGGGTTCAACAGTCTGATCCATGTTTTTATTCCAGAGTTTTATAACGGCGGGTTCAACAGTCTGATCCAATCCATGTTTTTATTCCAGAGTTTTATAACGGCGGGTTTAACAGTCTGATCCATGTTTTTATTCCAGAGTTTTATAACGGCGGGTTCAACAGCCTGATCCATGTTTTTATTCCAGAGTTTTATAACGGCGGGTTCAACAGCCTGATCCATGTTTTTATTCCAGAGTTTTATAACGGCGGGTTCAACAGTCTGATCCATGTTTTTATTCCAGAGTTTTATAACGGCGGGTTCAACAGTCTGATCCATGTTTTTATTCCAGAGTTTTATAACGTCGGGTTCAACAGCCTGATCCATGTTTTTATTCCAGAGTTTTATAACGGCAGGTTCAACAGTCTGATCCATGTTTTTATTCCAGAGTTTTATAACGGCGGGTTCAACAGCCTGATCCATGTTTTTATTCCAGAGTTTTATAACGGCAGGTTCAACAGTCTGATCCATGTTTTTATTCCAGAGTTTTATAACGGCGGGTTCAACAGTCTGATCCATGTTTTTATTCCAGAGTTTTATAACGGCGGGTTCAACAGTCTGATCCAATCCATGTTTTTATTCCAGAGTTTTATAACGGCGGGTTCAACAGTCTGATCCAATCCATGTTTTTATTCCAGAGTTTTATAACGGCGGGTTCAACAGTCTGATCCATGTTTTTATTCCAGAGTTTTATAACGGCGGGTTCAACAGTCTGATCCATGTTTTTATTCCAGAGTTTTATAACGGCGGGTTTAACAGTCTGATCCAATCCATGTTTTTATTCCAGAGTTTTATAACGGCGGGTTGAACAGTCTGATCCATGTTTTCATTCCAGAGTTTTATAACGGCGGGTTCAACAGCCTGATCCAATCCATGTTTTTATTCCAGAGTTTTATAACGGCGGGTTCATGATCCATGTTTTTATTCCAGAGTTTTATAACGGCGGGTTCAACAGTCTGATCCAATCCATGTTTTTATTCCAGAGTTTTATAACGGCGGGTTCAACAGCCTGATCCATGTTTTTATTCCAGAGTTTTATAACGGCGGGTTCAACAGTCTGATCCATGTTTTTATTCCAGAGTTTTATAACGGCGGGTTTAACAGTCTGATCCAATCCATGTTTTTATTCCAGAGTTTTATAACGGCGGGTTCAACAGTCTGATCCATGTTTTTATTCCAGAGTTTTATAATGGCGGGTTCAACAGTCTGATCCATGTTTTCATTCCAGAGTTCTATAACGGCGGGTTGAACAGTCTGATCCATGTTTTTATTCCAGAGTTTTATAACGGCGGGTTCAACAGTCTGATCCAATCCATGTTTTTATTCCAGAGTTTTATAACGGCGGGTTCAACAGCCTGATCCATGTTTTTATTCCAGAGTTTTATAACGGCGGGTTTAACAGTCTGATCCAATCCATGTTTTTATTCCAGAGTTTTATAACGGCGGGTTCAACAGCCTGATCCATGTTTTCATTCCAGAGTTTTATAATGGCGGGTTCATGATCCATGTTTTTATTCCAGAGTTTTATAACGGCGGGTTCAACAGTCTGATCCAATCCATGTTTTTATTCCAGAGTTCTATAACGGCGGGTTTAACAGTCTGATCCATGTTTTTATTCCAGAGTTTTATAACGGCGGGTTCAACAGTCTGATCCATGTTTTTATTCCAGAGTTTTATAACGGCGGGTTTAACAGTCTGATCCAATCCATGTTTTTATTCCAGAGTTTTATAATGGCGGGTTCATGATCCATGTTTTTATTCCAGAGTTTTATAACGGCGGGTTCAACAGCCTGATCCAATCCATGTTTTTATTCCAGAGTTTTATAATGGCGGGTTCATGATCCATGTTTTTATTCCAGAGTTTTATAACGGCGGGTTCAACAGCCTGATCCATGTTTTTATTCCAGAGTTTTATAACGGCGGGTTCATGATCCATGTTTTTATTCCAGAGTTTTATAACGGCGGGTTCAACAGTCTGATCCATGTTTTTATTCCAGAGTTTTATAACGGCGGGTTCAACAGTCTGATCCAATCCATGTTTTTATTCCAGAGTTTTATAACGGCGGGTTCAACAGTCTGATCCATGTTTTTATTCCAGAGTTTTATAACGGCGGGTTCAACAGTCTGATCCATGTTTTTATTCCAGAGTTTTATAACGGCGGGTTCAACAGTCTGATCCAATCCATGTTTTTATTCCAGAGTTTTATAACGGCGGGTTCAACAGTCTGATCCATGTTTTTATTCCAGAGTTTTATAACGGCGGGTTCAACAGTCTGATCCATGTTTTTATTCCAGAGTTTTATAACGGCGGGTTCATGATCCATGTTTTTATTCCAGAGTTTTATAACGGCGGGTTCAACAGTCTGATCCATGTTTTTATTCCAGAGTTTTATAACGGCGGGTTCAACAGTCTGATCCAATCCATGTTTTTATTCCAGAGTTTTATAACGGCGGGTTCAACAGTCTGATCCATGTTTTTATTCCAGAGTTTTATAACGGCGGGTTCATGATCCATGTTTTTATTCCAGAGTTTTATAACGGCGGGTTCAACAGTCTGATCCAATCCATGTTTTTATTCCAGAGTTTTATAACGGCGGGTTCAACAGTCTGATCCAATCCATGTTTTTATTCCAGAGTTTTATAACGGCGGGTTCATGATCCATGTTTTTATTCCAGAGTTTTATAACGGCGGGTTCAACAGTCTGATCCATGTTTTCATTCCAGAGTTTTATAACGGCGGGTTGAACAGTCTGATCCATGTTTTTATTCCAGAGTTTTATAACGGCGGGTTGAACAGTCTGATCCATGTTTTTATTCCAGAGTTTTATAACGGCGGGTTCAACAGTCTGATCCAATCCATGTTTTTATTCCAGAGTTTTATAACGGCGGGTTCAACAGTCTGATCCATGTTTTTATTCCAGAGTTTTATAACGGCGGGTTCAACAGTCTGATCCATGTTTTTATTCCAGAGTTTTATAACGGCGGGTTCATGATCCATGTTTTTATTCCAGAGTTTTATAACGGCGGGTTCAACAGTCTGATCCAATCCATGTTTTTATTCCAGAGTTTTATAACGGCGGGTTCAACAGTCTGATCCAATCCATGTTTTTATTCCAGAGTTTTATAACGGCGGGTTCATGATCCATGTTTTTATTCCAGAGTTTTATAACGGCCGGTTCAACAGTCTGATCCATGTTTTTATTCCAGAGTTTTATAACGGCGGGTTCAACAGTCTGATCCAATCCATGTTTTTATTCCAGAGTTTTATAACGGCGGGTTCATGATCCATGTTTTTATTCCAGAGTTTTATAACGGCCGGTTCAACAGTCTGATCCATGTTTTTATTCCAGAGTTTTATAACGGCGGGTTCAACAGCCTGATCCATGTTTTTATTCCAGAGTTTTATAACGGCGGGTTCAACAGTCTGATCCAATCCATGTTTTTATTCCAGAGTTTTATAACGGCGGGTTCAACAGTCTGATCCATGTTTTTATTCCAGAGTTTTATAATGGCGGGTTCATGATCCATGTTTTTATTCCAGAGTTTTATAACGGCGGGTTCAACAGTCTGATCCATGTTTTTATTCCAGAGTTTTATAACGGCGGGTTCAACAGTCTGATCCATGTTTTTATTCCAGAGTTTTATAACGGCGGGTTCAACAGTCTGATCCATGTTTTTATTCCAGAGTTTTATAACGGCGGGTTCAACAGTCTGATCCAATCCATGTTTTTATTCCAGAGTTTTATAACGGCGGGTTCAACAGTCTGATCCATGTTTTTATTCCAGAGTTTTATAACGGCGGGTTCAACAGTCTGATCCATGTTTTTATTCCAGAGTTTTATAACGGCGGGTTTAACAGTCTGATCCAATCCATGTTTTTATTCCAGAGTTTTATAACGGCGGGTTCAACAGTCTGATCCATGTTTTTATTCCAGAGTTTTATAACGGCGGGTTCAACAGTCTGATCCATGTTTTTATTCCAGAGTTTTATAACGGCGGGTTCAACAGTCTGATCCATGTTTTCATTCCAGAGTTTTATAACGGCGGGTTCAACAGTCTGATCCAATCCATGTTTTTATTCCAGAGTTTTATAACGGCGGGTTCAACAGTCTGATCCATGTTTTTATTCCAGAGTTTTATAACGGCGGGTTCAACAGTCTGATCCAATCCATGTTTTTATTCCAGAGTTTTATAACGGCGGGTTCAACAGTCTGATCCATGTTTTTATTCCAGAGTTTTATAACGGCGGGTTCAACAGTCTGATCCATGTTTTCATTCCAGAGTTTTATAACGGCGGGTTCAACAGTCTGATCCATGTTTTCATGTACACCTACTACGGTCTGGCAGCTATGGGGCCACAAGTCCAGAAATATTTGTGGTGGAAGCGGTACCTGACGGAGTTTCAGCTGGTCAGTCTAGAACTGGGCTTTTGTCTTCATGGTTTGGCTTAACACAAACTTACTGGGGGGAAGGGGGGGGGGGGAATTGGTCACTTTCCCTCTTGTGTGTTGTTTGACCTATGACCTCATGTATAATAACAAACTTCCCTCTTGTGTGTTGTTTGACCTATGACCTCATGTATAATAACAAACTTCCCTCTTGTGTGTTGTTTGACCTATGACCTCATGTATAATAAAAAACTTCCCTCTTGTGTGTTGTTTGACCTATGACCTCATGTATAATAACAAACTTTCCTCTTGTGTGTTGTTTGACCTATGACCTATGACCTGTATAATAACAAACTTCCCTCTTGTGTTTCAGGTGCAGTTTCTCGGCGTCAACGCGCGGTCAATTTTCTCGTTTTTCTCTGGCCCCTGCGAGTACCCCACGTGGATTAACGTGGTGGCTCTCCTCTACTCCTCCTCCCTCCTGCTCCTCTTCCTCAACTTTTATTTAAAAACCTACAAATCAAAAGCATCCAAGAGCAATTGACAGCCTCATTTTAATTACCTACCTAGTTGCCGCGGTGTTGCTGATAAAACCATTGCTCAAATGATTGCCTTGTAAAGGGAAGTAACTAGTAAATTGTTAATACAGAAGTAGTTTCATACATAGTTACTGCACTTTGTAAATTACAATTTGTGATTTTTAAATTTTTCAATCGCATTCTAATTAATTATTTAATTAATGCATTTTTTAATAGACTTTTTCTTAAAATATAGCTTTCTGTTTATTTTATAATAATCTGAAAATGTCCAAATAGAAGTAGTTGTAGATCTGAAGCCAATTATGGTGGACAGTGCACCATGTAAAACATTTCGTTTAGCCCATGGGTCAGCTCTGTTGTTGTCCATGGGTCAGCTCTGTTGTTGTCCATGGGTCAGCCCTGTTGTTCATGGGTCAGCTCTGTTGTTGTCCATGGGTCAGCTCTGTTGTCCATGGGTCAGCTCTGTTGTCTATGGGTCAGCACTGTTGTCCATGGGTCAGCACTGTTGTCCATGGGTCAGCTCTGTTGTTGTCCATGGGTCAGCCCTGTTGTCCATGGGTCAGCTCTGTTGTTGTCAATGGGTCAGCTCTGTTGTCCATGGGTCAGCTCTGTTGTCTATGGGTCAGCACTGTTGTCCATGGGTCAGCTCTGTTGTCCATGGGTCAGCCCTGTTGTCCATGGGTCAGCTCTGTTGTTGTCCATGGGTCAGCTCTGTTGTCCATGGGTCAGCCCTGTTGTCCATGGGTCAGCTCTGTTGTTGTCCATGGGTCAGCTCTGTTGTCCATGGGTCAGCCCTGTTGTCTATGGGTCAGCCCTGTTGGCCATGGGTCACCCCTGTTGTCCATGGTTTAGCTCTGTTGTCCATGGGTCAGCTCTGTTGTCTATGGGTCAGCTCTGTTGTCTATGGGTCAGCTCTGTTGTCTATGGGTCAGCTCTGTTGTCCATGGGTCAGCTCTGTTGTCTATGGGTCAGCTCTGTTGTTGTCCATGGGTCAGCTCTGTTGTCCATGGGTCAGCTCTGTTGTCCATGGGTCAGCTCTGTTGTCCATGGGTCAGCTCTGTTGTCCATGGGTCAGCTCTGTTGTCTATGGGTCAGCTCTGTTGTCCATGGGTCAGCTCTGTTGTCTATGGGTCAGCTCTGTTGTTGTCCATGGGTCAGCTCTGTTGTCTATGGGTCAGCTCTGTTGTCTATGGGTCAGCTCTGTTGTTGTCCATGGGTCAGCTCTGTTGTCCATGGGTCAGCTCTGTTGTCCATGGGTCAGCTCTGTTGTCCATGGGTCAGCTCTGTTGTCCATGGGTCAGCTCTGTTGTCTATGGGTCAGCTCTGTTGTCCATGGGTCAGCTCTGTTGTCTATGGGTCAGCTCTGTTGTTGTCCATGGGTCAGCTCTGTTGTCTATGGGTCAGCTCTGTTGTCTATGGGTCAGCTCTGTTGTCCATGGGTCAGCTCTGTTGTCTATGGGTCAGCTCTGTTGTTGTCCATGGGTCAGCTCTGTTGTCCATGGGTCAGCTCTGTTGTTGTCCATGGGTCAGCTCTGTTGTCCATGGGTCAGCTCTGTTGTCTATGGGTCAGCTCTGTTGTTGTCCATGGGTCAGCTCTGTTGTCCATGGGTCAGCTCTGTTGTCCATGGGTCAGCTCTGTTGTCCATGGGTCAGCTCTGTTGTCCATGGGTCAGCTCTGTTGTCCATGGGTCAGCTCTGCTGTCCGTGGGTCAGCTCTGTTGTCCATGGGTCAGCCCTGTTGTCCATGGGTCAGCTCTGTTGTCCATGGGTCAGCTCTGCTGTCCATGGGTCAGCTCTGTTGTCCATGGGTCAGCTCTGTTGTCCATGGGTCAGCTCTGTTGTCCGTGGGTCAATTTGATCTCTCTGTTGTTCTATGTTGACCATGCATTCCTTTTATTTCTGTAATGTTACATGAAAGGTGATCGATTATATAAAGGTGTCGCGTTGATAGTTATATAAACATGCCATTTAGCCATTAATTATATGAAGATGTCATACATCAATCCATTATATGAAGGTGTCATTTGACAATCAATAATACAAGGTGTCATGATACTATTATATGAAAGTGTCATGTATCAAAACAGTATCTCCCTACTATAGTGATGTCACTGGACAGTATTAAATGCCACCCCACATTCGTCATTTATTCCAAATTGTCAGCTTTTCTACATCTATCCCAAATTGTCAGCTTTTCTACATCTATCCCAAACTGTCAGGTTTTAAAATATTTTAGAAAAAAAAAACTGAATGTTTGTAATGAGTTAAAGCAATGAATATATTTTGATGAATTTTTTTCCCTGCATATCTACCATTTTTAGAGAATGGGAAAGTTGGGGTTGAGGTGTGAGGGTTGGGTTGGTGTGAGTATGTGGGTTGGTGTGTGAGGTGGGGTTGGGTTGCATTTGATTGTATGGGAACTGTGTATGTTTGGTGTCTGGTGTGTGTGTGTGTGTGTGTGTGTGTGTGTGTGTGTAGAATCTGGTGTGGGTGTGTGAGGTCCTAAACATGTGACTGTCTGACCCACAGTGAGGTGTGTCCTGGGGGTGGGGGTGGTGACCGCCGCCCTACATTGTGTGATGTCAGGGGCGTATCTGTGGAGGGCACACGAAAGTTTAATTTTGTAGTCCCACCCCACCCCGCCCCTGGGCCTGTCTTGTAAAGAAACTCATAAAATCAATTTATGAAAGTATATGTGCCGTGTTTATAGAACTGAAATTTATAGAAACCACATGCGTTGGTTATTTATTTATATTTTCTATTGACCTTTTTATGATTTTTATAAATAAATATTTCACCAAGATTTTAAGAAGAGACTTCTTGTTTTCTATATTACAAATATGTAACTTCTGTTACCTTCTATAGGTAGGCTACAACAGTATCGTCAACGGTATCGTTAGCAGTATCGTCAACGATATCGTTAGTGGTATCGCCAACAGTATCATTAGCGATATCGCCATCATTAGCGGTATCTCCATCGGTAACTAATGGTATCGTCCGTTGTACTCATTGCACCGTAACTGTAACAAATATAGGCCCATACGGCTGTTGCTGATGATATTTAAAAAGAGACAGGTTGCCTTAAGGTCCTGAACATTATCAGGACAAACAGCGGTTGCCATGGTACACAAGCTGCACATCAAGATCTAACAACATGAAGTGGTTTATACATGTCATACATCTAACATAGATAACCGGATACCAGATCAGTTGCAACTTTTTTTGGGAAGTTTCTTTTCTAAGAGCTGTGGAGCCCGCGGATCTGGTTCCTCGTATCTCAAAAATCTCGTATGTCGGGATACTCGTATGTCGGGGTACTCGTATGTCGAGGTACTCGTATGTCGAGGTACTCGTATGTCGAGGTACTTGTATGTCGAGGTTAGATGTCCTAATATAACGATATATTGTATACATATGTTAATATAACTACATGTTGTTTATGTTATATGTCCTAATATAACGGTATGTTTTATGTTATATGTCCTTATATAACCACAAGTTGTATATGTTATATGTCCAAATATAACGATATGTTGTATTATGTGGTTGTGAATGATGTGTGCTTGAGATGATGTTAGAACATGCGCTCCTTTGTCGAAATGCTATAAATAGGCTGTGTGCGCAGGCCTCAGGTGAGCACAGTACGTCAGGTAATGGGGTTAGGTGGTATGTACGTGTAGCAGTGTGAGCAGTAGAGTCAAGCGTGTACCGTGCAGGGTACAGTCCCACATCGTCAAGTTCTAGAACTTTTCTAGCCATCGGTATAATCTAGCTAGAACTAGCTGCCTGTGTATACTAGTTAGGGCTAGCTGGTGGGTATTCTAGCCAGGATTAACTGGTTGTTGGTGCTATACACTTTTGACTGCCCCAACTTTCGACAGGCTCAAGTCGTGCACGAGCTGGGTGAGTAGAAAAAATATTGCGTAATTCGCTCTGGTGGGGAAACTGTGCAAGGACAAGCAACCTACGCTCATATGTTATGTAGTACAAGGACAAGCAACATACGCTCATATGTCATGTAGTACAAGGACAAGCAACATACGCTAATATGTTATGTGTTGTAGGTGTTAGGGTTCTGCCATAGTGCTGGTAGTGTAGGGTTTACAGACACTTGAGGTAGTGTAGGGTTTACAGACACTTGAGGTAGTGTAGGGTTTACAGACACTTGAGGTAGTGTAGGGTTTACAGACACTTGAGGTAGTGTAGGGTTTACAGACACTTGAGGTAGTGTAGGGTTTACAGACACTTGAGGTAGTGTAGGGTTTACAGACACTTGAGGTAGTGTAGGGTTTACACGGTTAACCTGATGGTTTCTCTTCCACCAACAACACCACCACCATCAACAACAACATCAACAATATTAATAACATCAACAGCAACAACATCATCAACAACAACATCAGCAACAACAACATTAATAGCTATATCAACAACATCAACAACAACAACATTAATAGCACCATCAACAACAACATCAACAACAAAAACAACAACATCAACAACATTAAAAACACCAATAACAACACTATCATCATCCACAACAACAACATTAATAGCACCATCAACAGCAACAACATTAATAGCACCATCAACAGCAACGTCAACAACAATAACATTAATAGCACCATCAAAAACATTAACAACATTAAAAACATCAACAACAACACCATCATCATCAACAACATCAACAACAACAAAATTAATAGCACCATCAACAACAACATCAACAACAACAACATTAATAGCACCATCAACAACAACATCACCAACACCATTAACAACAGATTCAACAACCAGTGCTTCCTTCATGTATCTCCTAAGAGGGTGGGGTGTCTGGACCGTACCCCCCTCCCCGAGGGAAATTCCACCACCCCGGGACGAAATTTTAAAAAAAATTATATAAAAATATATGTAGCCTGCTTTAAAGAGTATTTTCACCTAACCCCCGTTAGAAAAATACCTGAAAGAAACCCAGTCAACAACACCATTAACCATCCAGGATGAAACAAGCCAGCTAACTTACGCTGGCTCTATCTACGCAGATTTTTAAACGACTTTAAAAATAAAAATTGTGCAGGAGCACAACAATCACTTAAATCCTGATGGATTGTAGTTATTCTTTAGTTACTCTATGTGTTGTGTGTGTGTGTTTGTGTGTGTGTGTGGAGGGGGGCAGGGGGTGGCTAATGTGATATGATGATTTAATGTGATACAATCAACCAAGACAACACTAGGCCGGCAGTAATTTGACCAGACGGCTGACCTCAAGGCCGTCAACAAAAAATTTTAACTCATGTTTACAATTTGGTGGCTACGTCACTGCACATGCGCAGTTGCCAACGGCGCAGGCTATGACGAATGTAAACACAACAGGGCTTGTAATGGGGGAACCAATAGTGGGAACTAGTTTGGTGGTACCAAAGTTTGATGGAACTAACGGAACTAGTTTGGTGGTACCAAAGTTTGATGGAACTAACGGAACTAGTTTGGTGGTACCAAAGTTTGATGGAACTAACGGAACTAGTTTGGTGGTACCAAAGTTTGATGGAACTAACGGAACTAGTTTGGTGGTACCAAAGTTTGATGGAACTAACGGAACTAGTTTGGTGGTACCAAAGTTTGATGGAACTAACGGAACTAGTTTGGTGGTACCAAAGTTTGATGGAACTAACGGAACTAGTTTGGTGGTACCAAAGTTTGATGGAACTAACGGAACTAGTTTGGTGGTACCAAAGTTTGATGGAACTAACGGAACTAGTTTGGTGGTACCAAAGTTTGATGGAACTAACGGAACTAGTTTGGTGGTACCAAAGTTTGATGGAACTAACGGAACTAGTTTGGTGGTACCAAAGTTTGATGGAACTAACGGAACTAGTTTGGTGGTACCAAAGTTTGATGGAACTAACGGAACTAGTTTGGTGGTACCAAAGTTTGATGGAACTAACGGAACTAGTTTGGTGGTACCAAAGTTTGATGGAACTAACGGAACTAGTTTGGTGGTACCAAAGTTTGATGGAACTAACGGAACTAGTTTGGTGGTACCAAAGTTTGATGGAACTAACGGAACTAGTTTGGTGGTACCAAAGTTTGATGGAACTAACGGAACTAGTTTGGTGGTACCAAAGTTTGATGGAACTAACGGAACTAGTTTGGTGGTACCAAAGTTTGATGGAACTAACGGAACTAGTTTGGTGGTACCAAAGTTTGATGGAACTAACGGAACTAGTTTGGTGGTACCAAAGTTTGATGGAACTAACGGAACTAGTTTGGTGGTACCAAAGTTTGATGGAACTAACGGAACTAGTTTGGTGGTACCAAAGTTTGATGGAACTAACGGAACTAGTTTGGTGGTACCAAAGTTTGATGGAACTAACGGAACTAGTTTGGTGGTACCAAAGTTTGATGGAACTAACGGAACTAGTTTGGTGGTACCAAAGTTTGATGGAACTAACGGAACTAGTTTGGTGGTACCAAAGTTTGATGGAACTAACGGAACTAGTTTGGTGGTACCAAAGTTTGATGGAACTAACGGAACTAGTTTGGTGGTACCAAAGTTTGATGGAACTAACGGAACTAGTTTGGTGGTACCAAAGTTTGATGGAACTAGCGGAACTAGTTTGGTGGTACCAAAGTTTGATGGAACTAACGGAACTAGTTTGGTGGTACCAAAGTTTGATGGAACTAACGGAACTAGTTTGGTGGTACCAAAGTTTGATGGAACTAACGGAACTAGTTTGGTGGTACCAAAGTTTGATGGAACTAACGGAACTAGTTTGGTGGTACCAAAGTTTGATGGAACTAACGGAACTAGTTTGGTGGTACCAAAGTTTGATGGAACTAACGGAACTAGTTTGGTGGTACCAAAGTTTGATGGAACTAACGGAACTAGTTTGGTGGTACCAAAGTTTGATGGAACTAACGGAACTAGTTTGGTGGTACCAAAGTTTGATGGAACTAACGGAACTAGTTTGGTGGTACCAAAGTTTGATGGAACTAACGGAACTAGTTTGGTGGTACCAAAGTTTGATGGAACTAACGGAACTAGTTTGGTGGTACCAAAGTTTGATGGAACTAACGGAACTAGTTTGGTGGTACCAAAGTTTGATGGAACTAACGGAACTAGTTTGGTGGTACCAAAGTTTGATGGAACTAACGGAACTAGTTTGGTGGTACCAAAGTTTGATGGAACTAACGGAACTAGTTTGGTGGTACCAAAGTTTGATGGAACTAACGGAACTAGTTTGGTGGTACCAAAGTTTGATGGAACTAACGGAACTAGTTTGGTGGTACCAAAGTTTGATGGAACTAACGGAACTAGTTTGGTGGTACCAAAGTTTGATGGAACTAACGGAACTAGTTTGGTGGTACCAAAGTTTGATGGAACTAACGGAACTAGTTTGGTGGTACCAAAGTTTGATGGAACTAACGGAACTAGTTTGGTGGTACCAAAGTTTGATGGAACTAACGGAACTAGTTTGGTGGTACCAAAGTTTGATGGAACTAACGGAACTAGTTTGGTGGTACCAAAGTTTGATGGAACTAACGGAACTAGTTTGGTGGTACCAAAGTTTGATGGAACTAACGGAACTAGTTTGGTGGTACCAAAGTTTGATGGAACTAACGGAACTAGTTTGGTGGTACCAAAGTTTGATGGAACTAACGGAACTAGTTTGGTGGTACCAAAGTTTGATGGAACTAACGGAACTAGTTTGGTGGTACCAAAGTTTGATGGAACTAACGGAACTAGTTTGGTGGTACCAAAGTTTGATGGAACTAACGGAACTAGTTTGGTGGTACCAAAGTTTGATGGAACTAACGGAACTAGTTTGGTGGTACCAAAGTTTGATGGAACTAACGGAACTAGTTTGGTGGTACCAAAGTTTGATGGAACTAACGGAACTAGTTTGGTGGTACCAAAGTTTGATGCTGGCTATAGCTCAGTGTTTATAGCTGTTTTCATGGCTGAATGTTTATAGCTGTTTGGTATGGCTGTATGTTTATAGCTGTTTGGTATGGCTGTATGTTTATAGCTGTTTGGTATGGCTGTATGTTTATAGCTGTTTGGTATGGCTGTATGTTCATAGCTGTTTGGTATGGCTGTATGTTTATATTAGCTTAGTTCACAAACACAATACAGTGTGTTAGTAAGTATAAACACGGTGTGTGACTGTGAGTGAGTAAAAACACGGTGTGTGACTGTGAGTGAGTAAAAACACAGGGGTGTCGCGTAACTTGGTCTAGTTATCAAACTGTTCTGGTATTCTACGTACCACCAGGTAGATGCCGTAGGTTGAGACAATATTATTGGTGTGGTGTTAGTGCTCAACTCCAGTGTTTCTTCCAGGCATCTCTTCTATCATCAACAACATCACAGCACCATCAACAACACCAACAACAACATCAGCAACACCAACAACAACATCGACAACACCAACAACAACATCAACAACACCAACAACACCATCAACAACACCAACAACACCATCGACAACACCAACAACAACATCAACAACACCAACAACACCATCAACAACACCAACAACACCATCGACAACACCAACAACAACATCGACAACACCAACAACAACATCAACAACACCAACAACACCATCAACAACACCAACAACAACACCATCAACAACACCAACAACAACATCGACAACACCAACAACACCATCAACAACACCAACAACACCATCAACAACACCAACAACACCATCAACAACAACACCAACAACACCATCAACAACACCAACAACACCATCAACAACAACACCAACAACAATATCAACAACACCAACAACACCAACAACAACACCACCAACAACAACAACATCAACAACACCAACAACAACACCACCAACAACAACACCAACAACAACACCAACAACAACAACACCAACAACACCATCAACAACACCAACAACAACACCACCAACAACAACACCAACAACAACATCGACAACCGATTCCGCAACCAGAACTTCCTTCGGGTATCTCCTGAGGGGGTGGAGGAGGTCTAGTCAAAAGTTATCTAAGCGTCCTGTTTCGTCCAACAGTAAAATCTAGGGTTCTATTTATTTCAGATGGTAGAGGCGTACCTTGTGTGATTTTATCTGCTCCGATGTGGGATATTTCTAGGGGAAAAGGTCATAGTCCAGTCAATTATCATAGTCAGGCTTTTCTAGTCTTCCATGACCTCTCTACTTTTATCATAGTCTGAAGGTCTCACTACACTTCTCATAGTCTGAGGGTCTCACTACAGTTCTCATAATCTGAAGGTCTCACTACACTTCTCATAGTCTGAAGGTCTCAAAACACTTCTCATAGAATGAAGGTCTCACTACATTTATCATAATCCTACCTTTCTAATAACCAACTGCTGCAACAAAAACTCCATCCCTCTACTGTGTTGTATCTTGTACTTATTGAAGTATCTCCTCTCCTCCAAGGAAACAAACCGACTCAGTTCACCAGTCCTGATCATGAAGACCGCGAGAGTCCCAGTCTAAGAGAGGAACAAACCACGTGACCATGTCTAGCTACTTCAGCTCTAAGCGCCGGTTCAGCAGACCGGAAGAGCCGCAGCCTCGTTTTGAATGGCGCATGCGTGTTCACAGTTTAATGATGGACGACAATGACACGGCGCCCTCCGTGGTAGAAAGGCGAGTCCAGCGCTACGACTACAGGCGAGCTTCAGGCGAGTCCCCACCCACGGGCGCCGACCCCCAGGACAGGAAGTCTGGAGCCGACTCGGAGCCGCACAGACCCTGGCGGGAGAGGCTGCAGAGGACGAAATCTGAGGGCCATTTGAAGGTTAGGCTGAGACTGTCCAAGTTTTCAGAAACTTCGAAGAGTTTAGACCACGGCGAGGCGGGGGCTGAGGGGACTGACTTGTTGGCAGACGCGAGTCAGGCGACCGGAGCAGACGACCGTGATGTGGAGAGCAGGGCGGGAAGTTTCCAGTCGTCAGAAGGTCAAGGACATCCTGTGGACCGAGCTAACGATCAATGTCAAGGTGATACACATCGCCATAATGATCGCGACATCAGATCACAACATGATGACGCCTCGGTTGGGTTTGACCGTGACGTCAAACCACAATTTGATGACGCGAAAGTTGGGAGGGATCCTGACGTCAAACCACAACATGATGACGCCGCAGTTGGGTTTGACCGTGACGTCAAACCACAATTTGATGACGCGAAAATTGGGAGTGATCCTGACGTCAACAGTCTGGATTTTGCTGGCGCTTGTTCGGTAAAAATAGACAACTCTTCCGATCAGCGGAAGTCAGGCGACGAATCTGTCGATGGCTCACGGGAAATCTCCGATCGCCCACTTTATCCTAACACTACCCCACCGGTCAACGTGGAAGGTGCGTCTGCTGGGGTGGGTGGTCAGGACCTGTCGGCTAACATCAATGCTGCCACGGGGGCGATACCCAAGACACACACCGCCACAGCAAAGTGTGTAGCAGGTCGGCCAAGCTGTGAGAAAGATTCAGATTGTGAAGAAACTGAACAAGAAAACAGTTGTATAAACATTCCAAACAGACTGAGTCTTGATGAAGGTACGAGAGAAGCTAAACACATTTTACAAAATGATGCAGAAAACAGTTCTGACGCGCGAGGATACGGAACGACTGGGACTGTTTACAACGTGTGTGAAGGGCTACCCAATGGCCGCAGCGAGAAAACAGAAGAACCATGTGCTGCTGGCTTGAGTAAAGCTTCCAGCGAGAAAACCGAGGAACAATGTGCAGCTGGCTTGAGTAAAGCTTCCAGCGAGAAAACAGAGGAACCATGTGCTACTGGCTTGAGCAAAGCTTCCAGCGAGAAAACAGAGGAACCATGTGCTGCTAGCTTGAGTAAAGCTTCCAGCGAGAATACAGAGGAACCATGTGCTACTGCTGGCTGGAGCAAAGCTTCCAGCGAAGACAAGGGGGACATGGACGACATCGAGGCCATCATAGAACAAATTATTGCGGAGGAGGAGGGCATGGTTGAGGGGAAGGCCGCCAGCGCTAGACTGATCAGCGCAGCGGTTGATCACATGAATGCGAGAGACAGGGACGCTCTCCACGCGGACATGCGCGAGCTGCAGCAGAAGGTAGACGACTGCAACCAGGAGGCTGAGCACGGCCTGGACATCACGCGTGGTGGCCAGCAGCTGACGTCACAGTCCTCATCCCTGCCGTCGTATCGTCACAGACACGAGTCAGGGCACATCCAAACGGTGCTGCCCTTCTCATCCTCATGCCCCTCGTCTCATGGACTCCCCTCAAATGTTGACAAGACAGATGACGTAAAGAAAGAGGAGGAAGAGGAAGAAGACTTGGATTCGTGGGCGTACCTGCCCGTCATTCTAATCGAAGACATCTTCACGCTGCTGACGCCCAAGGAGCGGCACCAAGCCTCCATGGTCTGCCGGCAGTGGTACGAGCTCTTCTACTCGCCCCGGGTCTGGGAGACCTTCATCCTGCTCGAGAGGACGCTGACCAAGAAGAGGTTCAACTTGTACAAGGGCTACCAGCGAGAGCTTTGTCCTGGCAAAACTCAGGTCTGTATGTGTGTATGACACATCTCCTTAAAGTAATAGTGTTAAGGATGCATGTTAATTTGTTTATTTTATTAGTATTTAAATGTTTATATTCAAATCATCATGCATAAAATGCAAGTAAAAACTCAAAACAAAGCCGAATAAAAACAATCGTAGATTGAACTTATATTAGAGTGGGGTATATAACATGGTAGGAAGTATTTTTTTTTATTTGATTTTTACATTTGCGTTGGACAACAATAATGTGTGCTAAAATAAAAATAAAATGTCTTCCCATTTTTTTCAAACCAACTCCAGCTGTGCTTCCGACGAGTCGGGTCTTTCTTCAAGAGGATCGTGGTGACGCCCATCACCGACTACTTCAACCTGTACGAGTTCCTGAGGATCCTGGCGGCCTTCCTGCAGTTCCAGGAGGACCACGGCCAGAACGCCATGCCGCTCCTGCACACCTTCGACTTCACCTTCGCCTGCGCCAGCCGCAGTGAGGGGGTGGAGATGGTTCATGGGACGGGCGGACAGATCCTGGAGATGATCAAACAGCTGCTGGTCAGGATGAGCAACCTGAAACACCTCAAGCTGAACCAGCTGCTGGTTGACGTCATGGACGTGGCCCCGCTCTTTGACGCCATCACCAACTGCTTCTGTGAGAGTCTGAGCTCGCTGGAGATGCTGAACGTCACCAAAGTTCCACTGGCTCTCACAGACCTGGCCCGCTTCCGGAACCTGATCAAGCTGAGCATCAGCCCGCAGCACCTCAACGACGAGGTCCTGCTGCTCGTCTCCGGCCTGAACATCCTGCAGCTGCACCTGCTGCAGGACCCCTACACCTGCGACTGCGAGCCCGTGTCCAGCGAGGCGTGGAAGCTGGCCCGCGAGATGGCGCCATGGATGTGCGTCTATCTGGAAGTCTCCGGACTGACCAGAGCTCCCGTCTTGATCCAGCCCCGGGCGCCCGTCCACGGCGTGTTCCTACGGACGCCCTACAGCCGCGTCACCAACGACTTGGTTGTGTCCCTTGTGGAGAACTACAGCAAAACTCTGCGCTACTTTGTCCAGGAGCGGTTACCCCGCTTCCACGGCCCTAGGGGCTTCCGCTACAGGTGCGACTCGTCCCTCTTGTTCCTGCTGCGTCGCTGCCCCGCCCTCCACACGCTGGTCATTCGCGACCGCATCAGCACGTCGTCGCTGGTCCTGCTGGCCAGCGAGGGCAGGCGCCTGACCACCTTCCTCGTGCGGAAGAACGGCCTGATCAAGCGCTGCGACTGGCCGCAGTGCGGCGAGATGTCCAAGGACTTTTACGCCGGGCTCAGGGAGGCTGCGCTCGACTACGACAAGTGCAAGGACAAAATCTGCTCGCTGTTACAGCGGCGCTGGAAACCTTTGCCGGACCGGCAGTTTATGCGAATCAAAATCGTTCCCAGAATGCAATTGTTTTAAATAAGTTTGGAGTAAAATGAACAATGTGGTTGTTATTTGCGTGTTCGTGCCGTGTAGTACTCGATTAGTCTATAGTTGTTGTGCTCTGTCCTTGTGCTTGTTCGTTGTGTAACCATGCAAGAAATAAAAATATCACTATTGCCAGCATTTTGTTACGTCATAATTAACGACTGGTGTCCGTATTTCATTCACTTTTTCACTTTTGATATAACGAGGACATGTCTATGCAAGCTGCTGAATATATAAGTTAGGATGGGATATATATATATATATATATATATATATATATATATATATATATATATATATATATATATATATATATCTTTCGTGCCTCTTCGACTGGGGGTGGGGGGTTGATCGGGGGGGGGACTGCCACCCCTCCCCCTTCCACTCTTCTCCGAAGCACTGTTGGTGCGATAAACATAGTTGTATAAAAACTACGATAATTGAAAGGTTTGATGTAGATGGTGTCAGTGGCATAGCGAGGGGGTGGGGGTGGGGGTGGGGTGCGGACCGCACCGGGTGACACCATTTAGTGGGTGACACCAAGGCAAAAAATTGCAAAATATATAGGCCTAGAGAAAAATGATAATTCCACTTAATTAAGTGATTAATTCGAGTGTTAAATAGTCTTTTAAGAGGTGCAAATAAAATGTTTGAGGGGGGGGGGGGGGGTGCAAATCGAAAGTTGAAAGTTTGTCCCCGGGAAGGGTCGCTACGCCTCTGGGGGTTGAAACCATTAAGTGCCTCACCGGGTGACACCCGACCTCGCTACGCCACTGGATGGTGTTGTTATATCAAGCTAAGGAAGTGCTTACTGCGGCCAACAAAATACGCAAGGTGCTTATATCCTTTAACATATTTTCGAGAAATAACCCCCTCCCCCTCAATGAAATTGAAACAAAATTATATAGAAAATTAAAGAATATTGTTCTATACTGTAACCAGTGTTCGCCGCTCTACTCTCTCCCCAGAAATTTAAGTGCCCCCCTACGAAAGTTTAAAGTACCCCCCCCCCCCCTATTTTTTTTTCTTAGCGGAGAAATAATGTCTCAAAAGATAAAAAAGAAAACACAGTCGTTTCACTTTAGAATGTTTGGACCATAATATATTTGCTTTAATTGAATAGACAACAATATGTATAATTTATTAAATTTCTCTTAAAGAGAGTTCCATTATGGCTGCTTACTGCATCAAAACGCTGTTATGATGTGCTGTTATGGTGTAATATCACCAAACTTTGTAAACGCGATCCACAGTATTCAAAGTACTGTTACATTAATGTGTATATTACACAAGAAATTTATTTCCAACTAAATAAATCTCTACATTTTCCCAATCTTATCTATTTTTTTTTATTTTGACTAAAAAATCAAGCAAAGAGTCGAGAAAGAGCTGACTCCGACTGAGCACCGGTGATTTATCGGTAATCTATCGTTTTGGGTACGTAAAATCGCCCGCGATTTGTAATGTGAAAAACAGGTGACTCCTTAAATTTTAATAATTATTTCACATTTTGAGGAGGATTTATGTTTTTAAAAATTCAAAAATGTTTCCTTGATTCATTTATGTACCTGCTGTTTTTAAACAATTGAATTAAAACTTTTCCGTAATAAATGAAGACTAGCGATGTTTCCAACAGATGCAACCATGCTCATTTACTATAGCAGCCATCTTGTCTAAGTTTTATTCTTATAAGCTTTTAGCGCCAGATTCAGGGGGAAGCCACTCTATTTTACAAATGGCTGCTGTTTATATTTTATATAGCAAATCTTGCTCTCAGACACTGCTGTTTAAAGTTAATTTCTGGCCTATATCAATATATTTAGCCATTGATTTAGGTTTATTATTCATTTATCTATAATATTTGACACAAAAGTATGACAATATACTTCTATTAAAGCCTTGACAACGAGGTAACGTTTTCGTACATAAATAGCCGCGGGCGATTTTACGTACCCAAAACGATAGATTACCGATTTATCAATCTGAATCTAGGTAAGTAAAATAGATACACGTCAAGTATTCAAGAGAAAGTAAGATCGTTTGAGTACTTTTGCTAATTATAAACTTGCTAGTTTATTAGTTACTGAGACCATTGATTGAATGATGTTTTTTTTATTGTAGTAGTGAATGATCTTAGACTCCAGATAAGCCCTGCCAACAAGTTAATCCCCGCCACCCTAAAAAGATTATAAAAAAGGATGTGAAACTTTTACTTTTAGGTTTTAACCCCAACCCAACTATGACCCTAACCCTCAGCAGATAAGGGGTTGTTTCATCATTTTATGGTGTGCCTTTCAAATGTCTAAGCATCATAAATAGCTCAAAGTTGCATGCATGCATTAAATGGGAGTTGGCATAAAGTGGCGGGCTTAATGTTTTGCTTGTGCACTTTCAATTCATTAGTGGTGGGGCTTATCTGGACTTTCCACAAAATAAAATTTAAAACTGAAATATGTTGCCTCTGTTTTGTCTTTATCTCAGCAACACTGTGGCTATCTGCAACATGTTCAAAATTAGCTCTAGATAAAATTACATTTACTAAACAGTACTGGTGTTGGCTTTATTAAATTTAAATTTGTTTGAATTTTAAAAAAAGAGTCTCTTAATATTGTTCATCCTTTTTCAAATTTATGCTTTTTTAAAATTTTTAAATTTTGCAGTTTTATTAGCATTATATGCCTAGTCCCCTCCTTAATCATGATATAAAATATGATAAACAATTTTTTTTCTATTCTTGAGCGCAGGGCTGTGAAGTAAGAACATATTTTGTAACCAAAAACATGGCCAGAAAAATTGAGTGCCACTATGAGGTGCTGGGAGTCGAGCGTGATGCTGACTTGGATGAGCTGAAGAAGTCGTACAGAAAGCTGGCCTTGAAATATCATCCAGGTACCTGCCCCACTCTTGTCAGCAATTTTATTTTTTTCTAACCAAAATGTCGAGTTATTAGAATCTCTGATATAGTTTTCTATATCTTACAGTTCATTTAAATAGCTATTCTGTAAGGTTTTTTTTAATTGAAGATAAAAATCCTGACAACATTGAAGAAGCCACCGCCAAGTTTCGTGTTGTACAGCAGGCGTATGAAGTGCTGAGTGACCCACAAGAAAGGGCTTGGTATGACAAACACAGGGAGGCTATTTTAAGAGGTGGTAAGTCATCGACACACACACAGTGCATCTCATTTTGTTCTTGACAGACACACACAGTGCATCTCATTTTGTTCTTGACAGACACACACAGTGCATCTCATTTTGTTCTTGACAGACACACACAGTGCATCTCATTTTGTTCTTGACAGACACACAGTGCATCTCATTTTGTTCTTGACAGACACACACAGTGTATCTCATTTTGTTCTTGACATCTAACAGTTAGTGGCTCTTTGATTACAATATTTGAAATAATTTAAATAGCCGTCTGATTAAAAAAAATATGTTCATGTTCCTGATGTGCCCATGTGGGTTTTGTTTTGGCAGGTCTTGGAGGTGGTGACAAATATGATGATGAGAGCCTGGACATTTTCCAGTACTTTAACTCCAGCTGCTACTCTGGTTTTGGTAGTGATGAGAATGTGAGTGTTGATCTTTTGCTTGTTTGATCTATGATGAGAATGTGAGTGTTGATCTTTTGCATGTTTGATCTATGATGAGAATGTGAGTGTTGATCTTTTGCTTGTTTGATCTATGATGAGAATGTGAGTGTTGACCTTTTGCTTGTTTGATCTATGATGAGAATGTGAGTGTTGATCTTTTGCTTATTTGATCTATGATGGGACAGTTTTTATCTTTTGCTTGTTTGATTTTTTTTTTCCTGTGCAGATATGCCTGTTTGGGCTACAGCTTTTGTATAAATTAGGTTAATGGTTTACACATGTTGGGGGACAAAAATCTATTATTGATTGTTTTCACATTTCAAATGATATCCTACTGTAACCAATTTTTCACCATATTTAAAGGGCTTCTATTCTGTTTATGGAAAAGTTTTTGAAAAACTGGCAGAGGAAGATTATGTTTTCATGCCAGATAGAAAAAAAGATGAAGAATTTCCTAAATTTGGAGGACCTGAGGCAGACTATGATGAGGTAAGTAGTCAACATTAGCATTAGGCAGCATCATGAGATCTTAGTTGTAATAGGTGGGTGTAAGGGGTGTTGTACACATCAGCATTAGGCAGCATCAGGAGATCACAGCTGTAATAGGTGGGTGTAACAGTGTAAGGGGTGTTGTACACCGACAAGATGGCAGATGTCATAGAACTGTCACTCTTCCTTAAGTGATGGCACACAACTGTAGCAAGATTTGAAATCTTCCTTAAGTGATTTCACACAACTGTAGCAAGATTTGAAATCTTCCTTAAGTGATTTCACACAACTGTAGCAAGATTTGAAATCTTCCTTAAGTGATTTCACACAACTGTAGCAAGATTTGAAATCTTCCTTAAGTGTTGGCACACAACTGTAGCAAGATTTGAAATCTTCCTTAAGTGATTTCACACAACTGTAGCAAGATTTGAAATCTTCCTTAAGTGATTTCACACAACTGTAGCAAGATTTGAAATCTTCCTTAAGTGTTGGCACACAACTGTAGCAAGATTTGAAATCTTCCTTAAGTGATGACACACAACTGTGGCAAAATTTGAAATCTTCCTTAAGTGTTGACACACAACTGTAGCAAGATTTGAAATCTTCCTTAAGTGATTTCACACAACTGTAGCAAGATTTGAAATCGTCCTTAAGTGTTGGCACACAACTGTAGCAAGATTTGAAATCTTCCTTAAGTGATTTCACACAACTGTAGCAAGATTTGAAATCTTCCTTAAGTGATTTCACACAACTGTAGCAAGATTTGAAATCTTCCTTAAGTGTTGGCACACAACTGTAGCAAGATTTGAAATCTTCCTTAAGTGTTGGCACACAACTGTAGCAAGATTTGAAATCTTCCTTAAGTGTTGGCACACATCTGTAGCAAGATTTGAAATCTTCCTTAAGTGTTGGCACACAACTGTAGCAAGATTTGAAATCTTCCTTAAGTGTTGGCACACATCTGTAGCAAGATTTGAAATCTTCCTTAAGTGATTTCACACAACTGTAGCAAGATTTGAAATCTTCCTTAAGTGATTTCACACAACTGTAGCAAGATTTTACCCCATTCCCCAATTGTTTCATCACAAAAAGCCAAACCTCTACACCCTGAAGTGGTGCATTGGTTTTGAGCACATTTCTCACCCCTCCCTCCCCCACCCACAACTTCACTACAGTCATAAACCCCCAGCCTTTTTTTGCACACAACAATTTTTCTCAAACCTGCATACAACAATATCATTTGTCTAAAACTTGACTCCAGATAGTGGGACCATTCTATGCGTTTTGGTCAAGTTTCTGCACCAATAAAACGTATGTGTGGGAGGAGAAGTACGACACACGTGAAGCCCCAGACCGGCGCTGCAGGAGGGCCATGGAGGCTGAGAACAAGAAGCTGAGAGATGCTGCCAAAAAGGAGCGCAATGAAGAGATTAGGGTGAGTAACATCATTGGTTGATTGGCATTACTTTTTACTTATTGAATACACATCTGGCACAGTATTTATATAACAATCATACATGTAAGTAAGTTGAGTAAGTAAAGTAACCTTTGAGCCCTGATATGTATCGGATGTGTAAGTAATAAATGTAACCTTTGAGAGCTGATGATAGCTGTGACAAGTGAATTTGTTGAACTTTTTCTTTTACTTTGTTATGTTGTGATTTTGTAATCTCATGAAAATTTTCAATAATTTCATGTCAAAAGTCCTCCATTATTTGAAGTCTGACTCTTGTATTTGACAAACTTTTCAGAACCTTGTGGCCTACGCCAAGAAAAGAGACAAGAGAGTGCAAGCATACAAGGTGAGCAGTGTTTTCCTCTGTGTAGTTCATGACAGTTTGTTGTACCTGTTTGATTAACCTCGTTGGCAGAATTGTAATTCTCACTTTTAATCCATAGGAAAGGGACATAACCCTTTAAAATATAATTTTATAATGTCACATTTTTGACATGTTTTTTCTGAAATTTTCATAAAACTTACCCATTTGTAATTTGTAATTGCTAAAAATACAGAAAGGAAGTTTGTTTTCTGTTTCTTCTAACTTCTGGCAACATCACTAAAGAGTAAAGAGTGAAATTGTTAAAAAATAAAGCAACCTTACAAAAATAAAGCAACCTTACAAAAATAAAGCAACGTTACCTTTTATGCATACAATTTTTTTTCCCCCCAGAAAAAACTTGAGGAAAGACACGCAGAAATAGAAGCTAAAACTCGTCAGAAAAGAGAAGACGACATCAGAGACAGGAAGAAGTGAGTTCTCCCCCCTTTTAAAATGTTTACGCTTTTGTTTACATGGTTTATGTGTTCACTCCAAAATTGTCCAACTGGTGGTAAAGCTGCGGCAATCTATTTATAGAAAACTGGAGAGTTACCAGGAGGCCGATTGGTCAGCCATGTCAGCTTTAGAGAAAGATCTGCAGCAACTAGAAGCTCATCTTGATGAACATTTTGGTGAAGTGGACAATGGTCAGCTGCTTAATCTCTTTATTCCCATGTTTGTTGTCAAGTGTGACTGATGAAGTGGGTTCACCCTGTCTATTATCTGTTTGTTGTCAAGTCTGACTGATGAAGTGGGTTCACCCTGTCTATTATCTGTTTGATGCCTAGTCTGACTGATGAAGTGGGTTCACCCTGTCTGTTTGTTGTCAAGTCTGACTGATGAAGTGGGTTCACCCTATTATCTGTTTGTTGCCTAGTCTGACTGATGAAGTGGGTTCACCCTGTCTATTATCTGTTTGTTGTCAAGTCTGACTGATGAAGTGGGTTCACCCTATTATCTGTTTGTTGTCTAGTCTGACTGATGAAGTGGGTTCACCCTGTCTATTATCTGTTTGTTGCCTAGTCTGACTGATGAAGTGGGTTCACTCTGTCTGTTATCTGTTTGTTCCCAAGTCTGACTGATGAAGTGGGTTCACCCTGTCTATTATCTGTTTGATGCCTAGTCTGACTGATGAAGTGGGTTCACCCTGTCTATTATCTGTTTGTTCCCAAGTCTGACTGATGAAGTGGGTTCACCCTGTCTATTATCTGTTTGATGCCTAGTCTGACTGATGAAGTGGGTTCACCCTGTCTGTTTGTTGTCAAGTCTGACTGATGAAGTGGGTTCACCCTGTCTATTATCTGTTTGTTCCCAAGTCTGACTGATGAAGTGGGTTCACCCTATTATCTGTTTGTTGCCTAGTCTGACTGATGAAGTGGGTTCACCCTGTCTATTATCTGTTTGTTCCCAAGTCTGACTGATGAAGTGGGTTTACCCTATTATCTGTTTGTTCCCAAGTCTGACTGATGAAGTGGGTTCACCCTGTCTATTAACTGTTTGTTCCCAAGTCTGACTGATGAAGTGGGTTCACCCTGTCTATTATCTGTTTGTTCCCAAGTCTGACTGATGAAGTGGGTTCACCCTGTCTATTATCTGTTTGTTGTCAAGTCTGACTGATGAAGTGGGTTTACCCTGTCTATTATCTGTTTGTTGTCTAGTCTGACTGATGAAGTGGGTTCACCCTGTCTATTATTTGTTTGTTGTTAAGTCTGACTGATGAAGTGAGTTCACCCTGTCTATTATCTGTTTGTTGTCAAGTCTGACTGATGAAGTGGGTTCACCCTGTCTGTTATCTGTTTGTTATCAAGTCTGACTGATGAAGTGGGTTCACCCTGTCTATTATCTGTTTGTTGCCTAGTCTGACTGATGAAGTGGGTTCACCCTGTCTATTATCTGTTTGTTGTCAAGTCTGACTGATGAAGTGGGTTCACCCTATTATCTGTTTGTTGTCTAGTCTGACTGATGAAGTGGGTTCACCCTGTCTATTATCTGTTTGTTGCCTAGTCTGACTGATGAAGTGGGTTCACTCTGTCTATTATCTGTTTGTTCCCAAGTCTGACTGATGAAGTGGGTTTACCCTATTATCTGTTTGTTCCCAAGTCTGACTGATGAAGTGGGTTCACCCTGTCTATTAACTGTTTGTTCCCAAGTCTGACTGATGAAGTGGGTTCACCCTGTCTATTATCTGTTTGTTCCCAAGTCTGACTGATGAAGTGGGTTCACCCTGTCTATTATCTGTTTGTTGTCAAGTCTGACTGATGAAGTGGGTTTACCCTGTCTATTATCTGTTTGTTGTCTAGTCTGACTGATGAAGTGGGTTCACCCTGTCTATTATTTGTTTGTTGTTAAGTCTGACTGATGAAGTGAGTTCACCCTGTCTATTATCTGTTTGTTGTCAAGTCTGACTGATGAAGTGGGTTCACCCTGTCTATTATCTGTTTGTTCCCAAGTCTGACTGATGAAGTGGGTTTACCCTATTATCTGTTTGTTCCCAAGTCTGACTGATGAAGTGGGTTCACCCTGTCTGTTTGTTGCCTAGTCTGACTGATGAAGTGGGTTCACCCTGTCTATTATCTGTTTGATGCCTAGTCTGACTGATGAAGTGGGTTCACCCTGTCTATTATCTGTTTGTTCCCAAGTCTGACTGATGAAGTGGGTCACCCTGTCTATTATCTGTTTGTTGTCAAGTCTGACTGATGAAGTGGATTCACCCTGTCTATTATCTGTTTGTTGCCTAGTCTGACTGATGAAGTGGGTTCACCCTGTCTATTATCTGTTTGATGCCTAGTCTGACTGATGAAGTGGGTTCACCCTGTCTATTATCTGTTTGTTCCCAAGTCTGACTGATGAAGTGGATTCACCCTGTCTGTTATCTGTTTGTTGTTAAGTCTGACTGATGAAGTGGGTTCACCCTGTCTGTTATCTGTTTGTTGTCAAGTCTGACTGATGAAGTGGGTTCACTCTGTCTATTATCTGTTTGTTGTCAAGTCTGACTGATGAAGTGGATTCACCCTGTCTATTTGTTCCCAAGTCTGACTGATGAAGTGAGTTCACCCTGTCTATTATCTGTTTGTTGCCTAGTCTGACTGATGAAGTGAGTTCACCCTGTCTATTATCTGTTTGTTGCCTAGTCTGACTGATGAAGTGGGTTCACCCTGTCTATTATCTGTTTGTTGCCTAGTCTGACTGATGAAGTGAGTTCACCCTGTCTATTATCTGTTTGTTGTCTAGTCTGACTGATGAAGTGGGTTCACCCTGTCTATTATTTGTTTGTTGTTAAGTCTGACTGATGAAGTGAGTTCACCCTGTCTATTATCTGTTTGTTGCCTAGTCTGACTGATGAAGTGAGTTCACCCTGTCTATTATCTGTTTGTTCCCAAGTCTGACTGATGAAGTGGGTTCACCCTGTCTGTTTGTTGTCAAGTCTGACTGATGAAGTGGGTTCACCCTATTATCTGTTTGTTGCCTAGTCTGACTGATGAAGTGGGTTCACCCTGTCTATTATCTGTTTGTTGTCAAGTCTGACTGATGAAGTGGGTTCACCCTATTATCTGTTTGTTGTCTAGTCTGACTGATGAAGTGGGTTCACCCTGTCTATTATCTGTTTGTTGCCTAGTCTGACTGATGAAGTGGGTTCACTCTGTCTATTATCTGTTTGTTCCCAAGTCTGACTGATGAAGTGGGTTCACCCTGTCTATTATCTGTTTGATGCCTAGTCTGACTGATGAAGTGGGTTCACCCTGTCTGTTTGTTGTCAAGTCTGACTGATGAAGTGGGTTCACCCTGTCTATTATCTGTTTGTTCCCAAGTCTGACTGATGAAGTGGGTTCACCCTATTATCTGTTTGTTGCCTAGTCTGACTGATGAAGTGGGTTCACCCTGTCTATTATCTGTTTGTTCCCAAGTCTGACTGATGAAGTGGGTTTACCCTATTATCTGTTTGTTCCCAAGTCTGACTGATGAAGTGGGTTCACCCTGTCTATTAACTGTTTGTTCCCAAGTCTGACTGATGAAGTGGGTTCACCCTGTCTATTATCTGTTTGTTCCCAAGTCTGACTGATGAAGTGGGTTCACCCTGTCTATTATCTGTTTGTTGTCAAGTCTGACTGATGAAGTGGGTTTACCCTGTCTATTATCTGTTTGTTGTCTAGTCTGACTGATGAAGTGGGTTCACCCTGTCTATTATTTGTTTGTTGTTAAGTCTGACTGATGAAGTGAGTTCACCCTGTCTATTATCTGTTTGTTGTCAAGTCTGACTGATGAAGTGGGTTCACCCTGTCTGTTATCTGTTTGTTATCAAGTCTGACTGATGAAGTGGGTTCACCCTGTCTATTATCTGTTTGTTGCCTAGTCTGACTGATGAAGTGGGTTCACCCTGTCTATTATCTGTTTGTTGTCAAGTCTGACTGATGAAGTGGGTTCACCCTATTATCTGTTTGTTGTCTAGTCTGACTGATGAAGTGGGTTCACTCTGTCTATTATCTGTTTGTTCCCAAGTCTGACTGATGAAGTGGGTTTACCCTATTATCTGTTTGTTCCCAAGTCTGACTGATGAAGTGGGTTCACCCTGTCTATTATCTGTTTGTTGCCTAGTCTGACTGATGAAGTGGGTTCACTCTGTCTATTATCTGTTTGTTCCCAAGTCTGACTGATGAAGTGGGTTTACCCTATTATCTGTTTGTTCCCAAGTCTGACTGATGAAGTGGGTTCACCCTGTCTGTTTGTTGCCTAGTCTGACTGATGAAGTGGGTTCACCCTGTCTATTATCTGTTTGTTCCCAAGTCTGACTGATGAAGTGGGTTCACCCTGTCTATTATCTGTTTGTTGTCAAGTCTGACTGATGAAGTGGGTTTACCCTGTCTATTATCTGTTTGTTGTCTAGTCTGACTGATGAAGTGGGTTCACCCTGTCTATTATTTGTTTGTTGTTAAGTCTGACTGATGAAGTGAGTTCACCCTGTCTATTATCTGTTTGTTGTCAAGTCTGACTGATGAAGTGGGTTCACCCTGTCTATTATCTGTTTGTTCCCAAGTCTGACTGATGAAGTGGGTTTACCCTATTATCTGTTTGTTCCCAAGTCTGACTGATGAAGTGGGTTCACCCTGTCTGTTTGTTGCCTAGTCTGACTGATGAAGTGGGTTCACCCTGTCTATTATCTGTTTGATGCCTAGTCTGACTGATGAAGTGGGTTCACCCTGTCTATTATCTGTTTGTTCCCAAGTCTGACTGATGAAGTGGGTCACCCTGTCTATTATCTGTTTGTTGTCAAGTCTGACTGATGAAGTGGATTCACCCTGTCTATTATCTGTTTGTTGCCTAGTCTGACTGATGAAGTGGGTTCACCCTGTCTATTATCTGTTTGATGCCTAGTCTGACTGATGAAGTGGGTTCACCCTGTCTATTATCTGTTTGTTCCCAAGTCTGACTGATGAAGTGGATTCACCCTGTCTGTTATCTGTTTGTTGTTAAGTCTGACTGATGAAGTGGGTTCACCCTGTCTATTATCTGTTTGTTGTCAAGTCTGACTGATGAAGTGGATTCACCCTGTCTATTTGTTCCCAAGTCTGACTGATGAAGTGAGTTCACCCTGTCTATTATCTGTTTGTTGCCTAGTCTGACTGATGAAGTGAGTTCACCCTGTCTATTATCTGTTTGTTGCCTAGTCTGACTGATGAAGTGGGTTCACCCTGTCTATTATCTGTTTGTTGCCTAGTCTGACTGATGAAGTGAGTTCACCCTGTCTATTATCTGTTTGTTGTCTAGTCTGACTGATGAAGTGGGTTCACCCTGTCTATTATTTGTTTGTTGTTAAGTCTGACTGATGAAGTGAGTTCACCCTGTCTATTATCTGTTTGTTGCCTAGTCTGACTGATGAAGTGAGTTCACCCTGTCTATTATCTGTTTGTTCCCAAGTCTGACTGATGAAGTGGGTTCACCCTGTCTATTATCTGTTTGTTGCCTAGTCTGACTGATGAAGTGAGTTCACCCTGTCTATTATCTGTTTGTTCCCAAGTCTGACTGATGAAGTGGGTTCACCCTGTCTATTATCTGTTTGTTGCCTAGTCTGACTGATGAAGTGAGTTCACCCTGTCTATTATCTGTTTGTTGTCTAGTCTGACTGATGAAGTGGGTTCACCCTGTCTATTATTTGTTTGTTGTTAAGTCTGACTGATGAAGTGAGTTCACCCTGTCTATTATCTGTTTGTTGTCAAGTCTGACTGATGAAGTGGATTCACCCTGTCTATTTGTTCCCAAGTCTGACTGATGAAGTGGGTTCACCCTGTCTATTATCTGTTTGTTGCCTAGTCTGACTGATGAAGTGAGTTCACCCTGTCTATTATCTGTTTGTTCCCAAGTCTGACTGATGAAGTGGGTTCACCCTGTCTATTATCTGTTTGTTGCCTAGTCTGACTGATGAAGTGAGTTCACCCTGTCTATTATCTGTTTGTTGTCTAGTCTGACTGATGAAGTGGGTTCACCCTGTCTATTATTTGTTTGTTGTTAAGTCTGACTGATGAAGTGGGTTCACCCTGTCTATTATTTGTTTGTTGTTAAGTCTGACTGATGAAGTGGGTTCACCCTGTCTATTATCTGTTTGTTGCCTAGTCTGACTGATGAAGTGGGTTCACCCTGTCTATTATCTGTTTGTTGTTAAGTCTGACTGATGAAGTGGGTTCACCCTGTCTATTATTTGTTTGTTGTTAAGTCTGACTGATGAAGTGGGTTCACCCTGTCTATTATCTGTTTGTTCCCAAGTCTGACTGATGAAGTGGGTTCACCCTGTCTATTATCTGTTTGTTGCCTAGTCTGACTGATGAAGTGGGTTCACCCTGTCTATTTGTTCCCAAGTCTGACTGATGAAGTGGGTTCACCCTGTCTATTATCTGTTTGTTGTCAAGTCTGACTGATGAAGTGGATTCACCCTGTCTATTATCTGTTTGTTGCCTAGTCTGACTGATGAAGTGGGTTCACCCTGTCTATTATCTGTTTGTTCCCAAGTCTGACTGATGAAGTGGGTTCACCCTGTCTATTATCTGTTTGTTGTTAAGTCTGACTGATGAAGTGGGTTCACCCTGTCTATTATTTGTTTGTTGTTAAGTCTGACTGATGAAGTGGGTTCACCCTGTCTATTTGTTCCCAAGTCTGACTGATGAAGTGGGTTCACCCTGTCTATTTGTTCCCAAGTCTGACTGATGAAGTGGGTTCACCCTGTCTATTTGTTCCCAAGTCTGACTGATGAAGTGGGTTCACCCTGTCTATTTGTTCCCAAGTCTGACTGATGAAGTGGGTTCACCCTGTCTATTATCTGTTTGTTCCCAGGGCTGATGGATGACCTAGCCGAGGACAACGAAGCCAATGGGGATGAGGATATTTTGTACATGGATGAACTCTACTGCGTGGCCTGCAACAAATCTTTCAAAAGTGACAAAGCGTAAGTCTTTTATTTTCTATTTCTTATTTGGGAAATTTGGTTATAACTGGTTGGATAATGTGCATAACATTCTCTCTAGCACATGGAGCTCTCATTACATAGCTTAACATTCACCCTAGCACATCAACATCTATTTATGGTGTGCATGCTGTATATTTGATTTCTCATTTAATTTCAACCTTCTCAATTTATCCATTCATGATGTCCACCCTACCATATAAAACCCAACTGAAACAGATATGTCCACGCTACCATACAAAACCCACCTGAATGCCAACATATATGAAGTCCACTGTACCACCTAAAACCGTATGTATGTCACAGGTTCTCCAACCACGAGAAGTCCACTGTACCACCTAAAACCATACGTATGTCACAGGTTCTCCAACCACGAGAAGTCCACTGTACCACCTAAAACCATACGTATGTTACAGGTTCTCCAACCACGAGAAGTCCACTGTACCACCTAAAACCATACGTATGTTACAGGTTCTCCAACCACGAGAAGTCCACTGTACCACCTAAAACCATACGTATGTTACAGGTTCTCCAACCATGAGAAGTCCACTGTACCACCTAAAACCATACGTATGTTACAGGTTCTCCAACCACGAGAAGTCCACTGTACCACCTAAAACCATACGTATGTCACAGGTTCTCCAACCACGAGAAGTCCCGTAAACACAAGGAGATGGTGGCTATCATAGCCCAGCAGATGCAGGAGGAGGAGGCAGGAGAGCTGCCCACTGATGAGGACAACGTACCCGTACAGGCAAGTCCCACAACTCTGGATGGTCAGGATCTCAGGCTGTCATCTGATGAGGAACAGGAGGAACAAAAACAGAGGTACTTTCTTTCTGACTAAAACAGAGGTACTTTCTTTTTGACTAAAACAGAGGTACTTTCTTTCTGACACATACAGAGGTACTTTTTTTTTGACTAAAACAGAGGTACTTTCTTTCTGACACATACAGAGGTACTTTCTTTCTGACTAAAACAGAGGTACTTTCTTTTTGACTAAAACAGAGGTACTTTCTTTCTGACACATACAGAGGTACTTTCTTTCTGACTAAAACAGAGGTATTTTCTTTCTGACACATACAGAGGTACTTTCTTTCTGACACATACAGAGGTACTTTCTTTTTGGCAAAAACAATGGTACTTTGTTACTACAAAATCAGAAGTACATTCTTCCTACTGATCTTATTTGGAGTCAGTTATTGGTTGTATTAGGTTATAGACTAGATTTAGTTTACAACAAGTCACATCCATTGTATCAGTGGCAGTTTGCATCAAATCTCAACAATTGTGAACAGTTTTTTTTTTCAGTTGTACATACAGAACACATACATATTGGCTCTTAGATCATCATGGCTCTTATGTTGATTTAGTGAACACAAAAACATAAGTTACTGGTAAATTTATTATCAAATTATTAAATGATCAGCATCAACAAACTGATAAAACTACATACAAAAGTTGACATGTGTTTGTCATGCGAGTTGCTGGTAGTTTGTGTGTGAAATGTGATTTTATTGCTTGTAACTTTCGCATGAAAACCTTCACCCCATCTTCAGTTCACCTTGTAGATAGATAATTGTTTGTTGAAGCTGTTGCTTATTTACACATACATGCAGCTGTATGCTACGATTTTGGGTTACATATACATATGATGTAGTAGGTGGCTGTTATAATTGTGTTACATATACATATGATGTAGTGGGTGGCTGTTACAATTGTGTTACATATACATATGATGTAGTGGGTGGTTGCTACAATTGTGTTACATATACATATGATGTAGTGGGTGGCTGTTACATGTTTCAATAATTGTGAAACATGTTTAAAGTATAAAACATTTCAGACAAAAATAGATTTAAATTTGTATACTGCCAGCCAAGTACAGGAGTCAAACATGTGGAGATGTTTAGCCATGGATGTCATGTGTTTGTGACATGTCACAGATGACATTGTGTTAAATGACATCAGTAAATAAAGTGGGCCTGTCTGTCCCTGTGACATTGCTCCAACTGTTGACGACAGACTCGCCACTTGTGCCAGCGCTGACAGGTGTTGTAGTATCTGGGCTGGCACCTAAAGTGGTGGACACTAGTCTTGCTGTGGTTGTGACAGGGGTGGGTGTGGTTGTGGCAGGGGTTGCTGTGGTTGTGGCAGGGGTGGGTGTGGTTGTGGCTGATGTGGTTGTCTCCTCCATCTCTTGTGTAGCAGCTGAGCTGGCAGCGTGTGGTTGCGTGACCTCCCCCTCCTCCACCTCCTCTGTGGCTGATGTGGTTGTGGCTGCCCCTATGGCCTGGAGGTACCGGCTGTGGAGTCTCCTCCAGTAGCTCTGGAATATGTCAGCCAGGATCTCATCTACGTCCGCGGGCTCCTGGGCCTCGTCAGTCTCCTGAGTCCTCTGTAACCAGCTGGGGTCTTTCAGGCCGAGGTGGGCCAGGTAGTTGCTGGTGCCAATCTGGCGTGGATGGGCCAGGTAATTTGTGCTGCCAATCTGGCGTGGGTGGGTCAACGCGTAGTTTGTGCTGCCAATATGCCGCGGATGTGTTGGGTGGTGCCGGATGGCTGGAACGCTGCTTGGGACCTGGGATTGAAATCTCCCGACTATGTGGTGGGGCTGGTTGATATAGCTGTGAGGATGTTGACTGGTCGGTATATGGGAAGCTTGGCCAGGGCGCAGTAAGCTGGAGAGGGGGAAGTGGTTGGTGGCAAAAGCTGCGTGCCCGGGGTGTGGACCCTCATCATCCATGGCGTCACGGTCCAGCTGCCAGAGAAAGTTGTTTCGCTTTTGTCTGGATTTGATCTTTTTGTTGCCCTCTGTGAGGGGCTTCTGTTGCAGCTCTTTATGGAATAAGTCTGCCTTTTGTGACCTCTCACCCGAAGTGATTCGCTCTGGCTGTTGCACGTGTCTCTTATCTCGGAGTAGCTCCTCGCTGTCTCTGCTGTTGTCATGGAAGATGTCATCGTTGTCAGCGAAGACGTCATTTGTCCAGATGACATCTTCCAGTGCAGTGTGTAGAAGGTTGTGTTTGGTTTCTTGTGTCTTGATCTTCTCTAGCCGGGGCGTGATGTCCTGGTCTTGACTCGATGGCCGCTCGTGGCTTGTTGGCTGGTCGTGGCTTGTAGGCTGGTCGTCAAGGTCTGAGCTCGTGTCCAGGGAGTTCTCACTGTCCTCACCGTGGTCTCGTCTTGCTGCGCTGGTCTGGTCTCTGGCGCCCCACTGGTCTCTGGCACCCCACTGGTCCCTGGCGCCCCACTGGTCAGCGGAACCATGCAAACTTTTTCCAGGCCAGTCCAGCAGCTGTGCCAGAGTTTCTTCCAGCCATATCCGGTCAGCCTCTGGAGCCCTGGTCCATGCTGACGTGTTGAACCAAGCCCAGTCCTGCCGCACACTGTCGGTCAGGTTCTGGTCGTAGACTAAATCTTCCATGGTTGTCTCGCCTGTCTGGTTGGCCAGCCTAGCTGTGTGGTTGGCCAGCCTAGCTGTGTGGTTGGCCAGCCTAGTTGTGTGGTTGACCAACCTGCCTGAGTCCACCCCCAGCTCATGTAGTGGACTGGTCTTGTACACGTCAGCTTTACCTGCTGTGTCTGCAGGCGGTAGTTGCTCCGTATGATTGAGTTGTCTTTGCTTGAGGAAGAAAATCCTGAACCTGTCCTTTCCTCCGCCAGGAACGGCTTGAAATTTGTGCGCGTCAGTAGGGTCGTGTCTAGCTGTGTAGGGTGGGTGTCTAGCTGTGTGGGGTGGGTGTCTAGCTGTGTGGGGTGGGTGTCTAGCGGTGTAGGGTGGGGGCGTGTGCCGGTCACGTGACACGTCTGGCACCCAGACCGATTTATTCAGCTGGTGTATGGCCAGGATGGTGGAGTTGACGTCACGAGTGGCCTGTAATGCCTGGAGCTGACGGCTGAGTTGCTCCAGCAGAGAGGCGATCAGCTGGTCCTCCTCGGCTGCCTCGCTCCTCGTGGGGGTTGGGGATGCTGCCTCGCTCCTCGTGGGGGTTGGGGATGCTGCCTCGCTCCTCGTGGGGGTTGGGGATGCTGCCTCGCTCCTCGTGGGGGGTGGGGATGCTGCCTCGCTCCTCGTGGGGGGTGGGGATGTTGTATTGCTCCTCGTGGGGGGTGGGGATGTTGTATTGCTCACCGATTGTGGCAGGGTCGCTGTCACATCTCTCGTGTGGGGTGGGGTTGCCGTGTCGCCCCAGGAGGGTGGTGGGGTTGCCGTGTCGCCCCTGCTGTGGGGTGGCGTTGCCGTGTCCCACCTGCTATAGGCCGCTGTGATGTTGCTGATATGACCAGGGTTCACGTCCAACACCCGTGACTGTTTGTTGTCTTTGCCTGCCGTGATGTTGAAGGAGATTGGTTTAGTGTCCACGCCAATCTTCAGCTGGGTGAGCAGGCTGGTCCTAGGGCGGGGCCGTGCTTGTCTCTTCCTCCTGTAGGGTGGCGGGTCATCTCCGTGGGTCAGCAGGCTGGTCCCAGGGCGGGGCCGTGCTTGTCTCTTCCTCCTGTAGGGTGGCGGGTCATCTCCGTGGGTCAGCAGGCTGGTCCCAGGGCGGGGCCGTGCTTGTCTCTTCCTCCTGTAGGGTGGCGGGTCATCTCCGTGGGTCAGCAGGCTGGTCCCAGGGCGGGGCCGTGCTTGTCTTTTCCTCCTGTACGGTGGCGGGTCATCACCAGCCAGACCTCCAGGGGTGGGGGGCGTCGTCTGGTTGCCTTCATACATCCTCAAGTTATTGATCTGTTTGGGCGAGATAAATTCAACTACATACATATCCCAGGGAATGGTTAAATGTAAGGTAAGATAGCCAGGGACATAGAGCGGCTGAAAGTGAAGCAAACTTACCAGGCCCGTGGGTACCTCACCCGAGTCATCCTCCAACCCAGCCCCTCCCAGGTTCTCTAAATACGGGGAGCCATTTTTCTCTGGTCCTGTCCTGGGCCCGCCATGACTGACCACAGGTGACCTCAGCTTGATGGAGAGGGGTAGGGTCTCTGGGCCGGTCATCACGTGATCCAGGCCCGTGTTGATCTCCAAGGGCTCCATCGGGGGGCGGGGCAGTTCTAGAGGCGACTCTGGCGGGAGAGGGTTGACCTCAGCTGACGCGCCAGGTGACACGTGCACCAGAGAGGCCAGCCGTTCTTGAGGCGACTCTGGCGGGAGAGGGTTGACCTCAGCTGACGCGCCAGGTGACACGTGCACCAGAGAGGCCAGCCGTTCTTGAGGCGACTCTGGCGGGACTGGGTTGACCTCAGCTGACGCGCCAGGTGACACGTGCACCAGAGAGGCCAGCCGTGAGCTGAGCCGCTGGACCAGCTCGTGCAGGCGGCTGTCGGACATCTCCATCAGGGGCTCTGACCACTGGGCGGGCGAGGTGTTCCCTGGGGTGGACGGGCGCTCGCCGCTCGCCCCCCTCCTCTCCTCGCTGCTGTCGTCACCCCACACGGTTGACCCATCCTTGTCGGAGCGGATCTGGTTCTCCTTCAGGCCCATCTCGCTGGTGGAGAGAAATGGGTTGGTCCCGCGCCGGGCTGTCTCGCCGTCTCGTTGACCTGCTCCTGACCTACCTTCCTCTAAACCCAGGCGACCTTCACCCTGTGTGTTATCAAGGTCACGTGACTCGGCCGAGCTTTGGGCACGCTCGTCAGGTTTGGCGTTTGTAGGCTTCCCCGCCTGGAAGGGTATTGCATATTTTAGATGGTACAGTGGTACAGTCGTGTTAGATGGTACAGTGGTACAGTCGTGTTAGATGGTACAGTGGTACAGTCGTGTTTGATGGTACGGTCGTGTTAGATGGTACAGTCGTGTTAGATGGTACAGTGGTACAGTCGTGTTAGATGGTACAGTCGTGTTAGATGGTACAGTGGTACAGTCGTGTTAGACGGTACAGTCGTGTTAAATGGTACAGTCGTGTTAGATGGTACAGTCGTGTTAGATGGTACGGTCGTGTTAGATGGTACAGTGGTGTTAAATGGTACAATGGTACAGTCGTGTTAGATGGTACAGTGGTACAGCCGTGTTAGACGGTACAGTCGTGTTAGATGGTACAGTGGTACAGTCGTGTTAGACGGTACAGTGGTACAGTCGTGTTAGATGGTACAGTCGTGTTAAATGGTACAGTCGTGTTAGATGGTACGGTCGTGTTAGATGGTACGGTCGTGTTAGATGGTACGGTCGTGTTAGATGGTACGGTCGTGTTAGATGGTACGGTCGTGTTAGATGGTACGGTCGTGTTAGATGGTACGGTCGTGTTAGATGGTACGGTCGTGTTAGATGGTACAGTGGTACAGTCGTGTTAGATGGTACAGTGGTACAGTCGTGTTAGATGGTACAGTGCTACAGTCGTGTTAGATGGTACAGTCGTGTTAGATGGTACAGTGGTACAGCCGTGTTAGCTGGTACGGTCGTGTTAGACTATGAGACTGACCACCCATGAGACTGATCTACCATGAGACTGACCAATTATGAGACTGACCAAGAGACTGAGACTGATCTACCAAGAGACAGACCTACCATGAGAATGACCAACCATAAGACTGACCAACCATGAGACTGACCAACCATAAGACTGACCACCCATGAGACTGACCAACCATAAGACTGACCTACGATGAGACTGACCTACCATTAGACTGACCTACCATGAGACTGACCTACGATGAGACTGACCTACCATGAGATTGACCAACTATGAGACTGACCTGCCTGAGTATGTCCTCCAGCAACAGTACCAGAAGCTCCTGTAGTTGCTCCAGGTTGAAGACCGACCTCTGCATGGCCAGGAAACTCTGGATCAGACTGCCGAGGCTTCCCTCTAGGCGCGTCAGACTCTGTGTCCATCTCTCCACGCTGGCCTCACCGGTCACTAGGTTCTCTGTTGTGTTGGCCCGGGGGTCACGTGGCTCGTCCGCCGGGCTCCTGTAGGCCCGGGGGTCATGTGGCTCGTCCGTCGGGCTCCAGTAGGCCCGGGGGTCATGTGACTCGTCTGTCGGGCTCCCGTTGGTAGTCGTCTGCTCCACGTCCGCTGTAGAGTTGCCGTCGTCTGGTGAACGGCCGAGTTGAGCCAGCTCCTGACGGGTGTATAGTGGGCGGGTGAGAAGAAGGAACAGCAAGCAGACTGGCTTGTCCGCTACAGTCCATCCCATCGTTCAGGAATTGTTTGCAGAGACTAAACTTTAAACTCAGTCTCATGTACTGATTGAGCGAGCTAAACTTCACGGAGACGTTTTCTCTCTTTCTGTGGTTGAGTTGAGCAAGCCGGTGGTAAACATGGCGTCGGGTCGTCCTGTCGTGTGCGACTGGGGGCTGCCGTGTCGAGGCGGGCTGAACGACTGGGCCTGTCATCCGTCCCGATATCTGAGCCGTCCCGCTTTAACGGAAATGTTCAGGCCTGCTTATTGGGTGGTCAGCGGAACTCTTGTCTGATTGACCTCCATTGGTCGCCTCAAGATTCACACTGGAGTACATTCCCTTTAAATGTTTGGGTACATTCCCTTTAAATGTTTTCGGTATATTCCCTTAAAATGCTTGCGTAATTTCTATGATTGTTAGACTTTGTCTACCTATGATTGTTAGACTTTGACTACCTATGATTGTTAGACTTTGACTACCTATGATTGTTAGACTTTGACTACCTATGATTGTTAGACTTTGACTACCTATGATTGTTAGACTTTGACTACCTATGATTGTTAGACTTTGACTACCTATGATTGTTAGACTTTGACTACCTATGATTGTTAGACTTTGACTACCTATGATTGTTAGACTTTGACTACCTATGATTGTTTCAAACTGAGCACTCAAGTGACATACATACGTCACAACCGGAAACTGCTCACTGGACTGCTGTTTAAAATTTTGGGATTCAAGATGTTTAAACACGTAGATTCTATGGCTACAGTTGGTGGTATGGCTACAGTTAGGCTGGTGATATGGCTACAGTTAGGCTGGGGACGGCTGGTGGTATGGCTACAGTTAGGCTGGTGATATGGCTACAGTTAGGCTGGTGGTATGGCTACAGTTAGGCTGGTGATATGGCTACAGTTAGGCTGGTGATATGGCTACAGTTAGGCTGGTGATATGGCTACAGTTAGGCTGGTGATATGGCTACAGTTAGGCTGGTGGTATGGCTGTTGGTATAGCTACAGTTAGGCTGGTGATATGGCTGTTGGTATAGCTACAGTTAGGCTTGTGATATGGCTACAGTTAGGCTGGTGGTATGGCTGTTGGTATAGCTACAGTTAGGCTGGTGATATGGCTGTTGGTATAGCTACAGTTAGGCTTGTGATATGGCTAAAGTTAGGCTGGGGACGTCTTGTCAAAAGGCCTGTAACAACTTCCCTGTGTCCAGCTCACGTTTCACTGGCCTCATGTAACTTGTGACAAACTGACACCTGACATTTGTGAGGGGGTGAGGGGGTGCGGGGCTGTTTTCTGGCAGATCTGTTAGCCTTGAGTACTCACAGTAAATGTGTGGGTGGGGGGGGTATCTGTCCCCGGGCAGATCTCTTGACCTGGTGTACTCACAGTTTAATGTAGGTAACATGTGTGTGTGTTTACCATTACCTACAGTAGCAGACAGGTCAAAGCTTCTGGGATCTAACCCTGTCCACACCAGCACTGCCCCACTCCTTAGACCACATCAGCACTGCCCCACTTCTTAGACCACACCAGCACTGCCCCACTCCTTAGATTGACCACACCAGCACTGCCCCACACCTTAGACCACACCAGCACTGCCCCACACCTTAGACCACACCAGCACTGCCCCACACCTTAGACCACACCAGCACTGCCCCACTCCTTAGACCACACCAGCACTGCCCCACACCTTAGACCACATCAGCACTGCCCCACACCTTAGACCACACCAGCACTGCCCCACTCCTTAGACCACACCAGCACTGCCCCACTCCTTAGACCACATCAGCACAGCCCCACTCCTTAGACCACATCAGCACAGCCCCACTCCTTAGACCACACCAGCACTGCCCCACACCTTAGACCACACCAGCACTGCCCCACTCCTTAGACCACACCAGCACTGCCCCACTCCTTAGATTGACCACACCAGCACTGCCCCACACCTTAGACCACACCAGCACTGCCCCACTCCTTAGACCACACCAGCACTGCCCCACTCCTTAGACCACATCAGCACTGCCCCACACCTTAGACCACATCAGCACTGCCCCACACCTTAGACCACACCAGCACTGCCCCACTCCTTAGACCACATCAGCACTGCCCCACACCTTAGACCACACCAGCACTGCCCCACTCCTTAGACCACATCAGCACTGCCCCACACCTTAGACCACACCAGCACTGCCCCACTCCTTAGATTGAACCTATTTGTCTCAACCAATTGATGTAGAGAAACTGTTCTAAAATGTGCATATATTTTCTACAGACTCTCCAAAAAACAGAAGAAAAAACGTCGGCAGAAAATTGTAGCTGAGGTGAGCCCATGTTAACTTAGCTTATAGTTCATGCTATAATACTAATGTCTGGTATCTTAGAGGTGAGCCCATGTTAACTTATCTTAGAGTTCATGCTATAATACTAATGTCTGGCACCTTAGAGGTGAGCCCATGTTAACTTAGAGTTCATGCTATAATACTAATGTCTGACATCTTAGAGGTGAGCCCATGTTAACTTATCTTAGAGTTCATGCTATAATACTAATGTCTGACATCTTAGAGGTGAGCCCATGTTAACTTAGCTTAGAGTTCATGCTATAATACTAATGTCTGGCATCTTAGAGGTGAGCCCATGTTAACTTATCTTAGAGTTCATGCTATAATACTAATGTCTGACATCTTAGAGGTGAGCCCATGTTAACTTATCTTAGAGTTCATGCTATAATACTAATGTCTGGCACCTTAGAGGTGAGCCCATGTTAACTTAGAGTTCATGCTATAATACTAATGTCTGGCACCTTAGAGGTGAGCCCATGTTAACTTAGAGTTCATGCTATAATACTAATGTCTGGCACCTTAGAGGTGAGCCCATGTTAACTTAGCTTAGAGTTCATGCTATAATACTAATCTCTAGCATCTTAGAGGTGAGCCCATGTTAACTTAGCTTAGAGTTCATGCTATAATACTAATGTCTGACATCTTAGAGGTGAGCCCATGTTAACTTAACTTAGAGTTCATGCTATAATACTAATGTCTGGCATCTTAGAGGTGAGCCCATGTTAACTTAGCTTAGAGTTCATGCTATAATACTAATGTCTGGCACCTTAGAGGTGAGCCCATGTTAACTTATAGTTCATGCTATAATACTAATGTCTGGCATCTTAGAGGTGAGCCCATGTTAACTTAGCTTAGAGTTCATGCTATAATACTAATGTCTGGCACCTTAGAGGTGAGCCCATGTTAACTTAGAGTTCATGCTATAATACTAATGTCTGGCACCTTAGAGGTGAGCCCATGTTAACTTAGAGTTCATGCTATAATACTAATGTCTGACATCTTAGAGGTGAGCCCATGTTAACTTAGCTTAGAGTTCATGCTATAATACTAATGTCTGGCACCTTAGAGGTGAGCCCATGTTAACTTAGAGTTCATGCTATAATACTAATGTCTGGTATCTTAGAGGTGAGCCCATGTTAACTTATCTTAGAGTTCATGCTATAATACTAATGTCTGGCACCTTAGAGGTGAGCCCATGTTAACTTAGCTTAGAGTTCATGCTATAATACTAATGTCTGGCACCTTAGAGGTGAGCCCATGTTAACTTAGAGTTCATGCTATAATACTAATGTCTGACATCTTAGAGGTGAGCCCATGTTAACTTAGCTTAGAGTTCATGCTGTAATACTAATGTCTGGCATCTTAGAGGTAAGCCCATGTTAACTTAGCTTAGAGTTCATGCTATAATACTAATGTCTGGCACCTTAGAGGTGAGCCCATGTTAACTTATAGTTCATGCTATAATACTAATGTCTGGCATCTTAGAGGTGAGCCTATGTTAACTTAGCTTAGAGTTCATGCTATAATACTAATGTCTGGCACCTTAGAGGTGAGCCCATGTTAACTTATAGTTCATGCTATAATACTAATGTCTGACATCTTAGAGGTGAGCCTATGTTAACTTAGCTTAGAGTTCATGCTATAATACTAATGTCTGGTATCTTAGAGGTGAGCCCATGTTAGCTTAGAGTTCATGCTATAATACTAATGTCTGACATCTTAGAGGTGAGCCCATGTTAACTTAGCTTAGAGTTCATGCTATAATACTAATGTCTGGTATCTTAGAGGTGAGCCCATGTTAACTTAGCTTAGAGTTCATGCTATAATACTAATGTCTGGCACCTTAGAGGTGAGCCCATGTTAACTTAGCTTAGAGTTCATGCTATAATACTAATGTCTGGCATCTTAGAGGTGAGCCCATGTTAACTTAGCTTAGAGTTCATGCTATAATACTAATGTCTGGCACCTTAGACGGATAATCCTGATTATTGCCAACAAAACCTGTAGATTACCTACAATAGAACGTGGAGATCACCTAGTGTAAAACCTGTGGATTACCTGCTATATAACCTGTATAATACCTCTTTAAAAACCTGTGATTTACCTGCTATATAACCTGTATAATACCTCTTTAAAAACCTGTGGTTTACCTGCTATATAACCTGTATAATACCTCTTTAAAAACCTGTGGTTTACCTGCTATATAACCTGTATAATACCTCTTTAAAAACCTGTGGTTTACCTACAAAAAAAAACCTATTCATCACTTATTTAAAAACCTGTAGGTTACCTGCTATAAAACCTGTAGTTTATCTACTCTTTTATTCTAGGCTGAAGAAGATATTCTAACTGAGCAACTGGCTGATGTCAAATTATCAGAAGAACCAATCAAAAGGTTAGTTTACAATTTGATCATGAATGAATCATTGAATGTAGTGTATAATTTAAATAAAAGGTAGTATTTAAATACCTACCACATTGCTCTAGATCAATCCCCACTAATTATGTAAAGTTTTTTTCCCAACACCAAATAATAAAATAAAAAGTAAATTTTGTCCCCCTATGTAATGTTTTTTTTTATAAAGGGAAGTAATTGTGTTTTCCTAATTTATCAAGGGACGCAATGAGTGCTAAAGGACTAAATGTAAATAATTTTTAGACATAAATAATATAATTAGAATTTTTGTGAAAGGTAATACATTTAAAAAAATTTTGTTTGAGGGACATTCCGGCAATGACCACTATAAGTTTGAAAAATGAAAATTGTTTTACAAAACTTTCAATATTAATTTTTACTTTCTCGTATACAACGTATAGAGAAGATCTTGTAATCGTGCAAAAAAAAATATTTAAAATTGAGATTTTCGTGAATCTCGCCATTTACGCCTCCCTGAGTCGGAAAAGCGTAGTTTTGCAATCTTGCCCCTATGTCTGTGTGTCTGTGAACATGATAACTTGAGTACCGTTTTACAGCTAGGTTGATGAAATTTCATATAAAGTATATCAAATTTGTAGTTCTGTATCTACTTTTCAGCAATTTCCGATAACCAGAAGTGGAACTTATTCTACTTTTGGTGTTTCAAAAGCCTATAACTTGAGTACTATTTCAAGTAGTTAATGAAATTTCACTTTTAGGTGAAAGATCTAATTCTCTGCCTTCTTTCAACTTTTGAGTAATTTCCGTTGCCTGGAAGTAGTAATTTACCCTAGTTTCAATTTCTCAAAAAACGCATGTGAATTTATAAAGTACTAATAATATTCCACACTATTAAACACATTTTGTTTGGCATTCACTTGGTGCACAATTCTTTAATCTACACAATTCTATTCTATTTTTAAAAGTTTCAGTAATTAAAAATGGATTAAAAATCACATCTATATCCTGAGTTGCCATCCCCCATAGTGTTATATAAGAATATTCAAGGAAGTTTAGGGGAGATAATGCCTGGTTTATTTAAATCATTAATTCAGATGATGCGCACTTTAGACGTATTAGACTATGACGATAATAATAGATTAAATTCTTATATTCCTTTGTAATCCACGGTTACATACAAACATACATAATTGAACTTTATATATTTACTAGCCGTCCCGGCCAGGCCCTGCTCTGGCTTCTGTGAAAAACCTTTCTGTTAAAGACCATTACCTGTGTGTTTAGTAATCATCATAAACCCGGCATTGCCCACCCAAACCAAAAACAACAAAACGCAAACATAACGCTAACACAATTACAAATACAAATGAAAACAAAAACCTAACAACAAACCCAACCACAACCACAAACACCATACGAACACAAAGAAAAAAACAAACGAAAAAGCAAACGAAAACAAACCAAATCCAAACGCAAAACCAACAACAAACACAAATACAAACCCAAAGAAAAAAACACAAACGAAAACGAAAAAAGAAAGAACAAAAACGAACCAAATCAAAACGCAACCACTAACGCAAACCCAACCTAAACACAAAGAAAACACTAACGCGAACATAAACGCAAAGTGCTCACAGTCTAGCCCGGGGCAGAATCGCCTGTTTCAGCTTAATAATCGACTATAGTACCCCAACTTATTCATAGTCTTTTGCACTCACTTAAACGTAGGTGCCAAACCAAACGAACAATTATAATACTCCAAGCTTATTCATAAAATATCTACAACATTTGCACTTGATCAATCCCCGCTAATTATGTAATTATTTTTTTCCCAACACCAAAACAAAGTAATAAAAAGTAAATTCTTTTCCACTAATGCAATGTTTTATAAAGGGAAGTAATTGTGTTTTCCTAATTTATCAAAGGGAAGTAAGTGCTAAAGGACTAAATATAAATAATTTTCAGACATAATTAGAATTTTTGTTATTTTTAAAAATTGTGTTTAATGAACATGCCGACAATTATTACTATCAGTTTGAAAAATGAAAATTATTTCCCAACCCTTTCAATAGTAATTTTTCAACTCATAAATTTAGACTGTGAGCACGATAATAGTCTAACACTTAAATCCATAGAAGTATGTCAACGACAAACAAACTTATTATTACATACAGAATTGAGCTTTATATATTAGATATATATTAGATAGACATTCCATATATTTGATGGGAGCTGGACATTACTCCCCAGCCCCCCCCCCCCCCCCCATCACCTTAATCAACCCTTTAGATTGACCCCAACCCAAAACCTGCCATAGGTCACTGACCTTATCATTTACCAATACATATAGGTAAAGGGTGGGAGTTGGGGAGCTGTCTATAGAAATGTTTACTGTTTGTATTGAATTATGGGTGGGGGGGGGGGTGGGTAATGTCCAAGGCTATGTCCACTCTGAGTTGTACAGGCCTACACAAGGCCCTTTATATTGCTAACACTTGATACATGTATTGTCCACAGTTCCACCAAGTCAAAAAAAGCCAGAAGAAAAGCCGCCAAAACAAATGAAAAGGTAATGAAGTTTTAACCAACTGTAGAACTCAACTTATTTAACTCACGCTTGAAAGTTTTTGTAAAGTTCTAATTACTTAACTAGCTCTTTAAAAAACTACTTGAATGTGTTGTAAAGTTTAATTGCTGTACATTCTTATAATACTACTTAATGTTTTTAGATCATGTGATGGGAGGGTACTCCTTATGACTTAGTGGGTGGGTCCTCCTTATGACTTAGTGGGTGAGTTTATTCCTCCTTATGACTTTTCATGTGGGTGGGTCCTGTTTAGGACGCTACGTGTGGGTGGGTCCTGTTTAGGACGCTACGTGTGGGTGGGTCCTGTTTAGGACGCTACGTGTGGGTGGGTCCTGTTTAGGACGCTACGTGTGGGTGGGTCCTCCTTTTGACGCTACATGTGGGTGGGTCCTGTTTATGACGCTTCAAGTGGGTGGGTCCTGTTTATGATGCTTCAAGTGGGTGGGTCCTGTTTATGATGCTACGTGTGGGTGGGTCCTCCTTTTGACGCTACATGTGGGTGGGTCCTGTTTATGACGCTTCAAGTGGGTGGGTCCTGTTTATGATGCTTCAAGTGGGTGGGTCCTGTTTATGATGCTACGTGTGGGTGGGTCCTCCTTTTGACGCTACATGTGGGTGGCTGGGTCCACCTCCTACTGCAACATTGCATAGAACCATTCTTGGGTTGTCATTTTTTTTCTTTTTCTAGACCTTCAATGTAGAATGAAAGGACAGGTCATCATGCAATGATGGAATAAAACTATAACAAACAAACAAAATTCTAATTTTCCAATTGGTGTGGAGAATTTATTGTTTATACAAAAATAACATGATGTTAACAGCTGTAAAGGCACTCGATCATGTACATCTAGTCCAAGTCTAGCTACAGGTGGCCAATGTATAGCTACAGGTGGGCCATGTCTGGCTACAGGTGGGCCACGTCTAGCTACAGGTGGCCAATGTATAGCTACAGGTGGGCCACTTCTAGCTACAGGTCTGGTAACCACACCTAGCTACAGGTCTGGTAACCACACCTAGCTACAGGTATGGTAACCACACCTAGCTACAGGTATGGTAACCACACCTAGCTACAGGTATGGTAACCACACCTAGCTACAGGTCTGGTAACCACGTCTAGACAGGTATGGTAACCACATCTAGCTACAGGTATGGTAACCACGTCTAGCTACAGGTATAGTAACCACATCTAGCTACAGGTCTGGTAACCACGTCTAGCTACACGTCTGGTAACCACGTCTAGACAGGTATGGTAACCACACCTAGCTACAGGTATGGTAACCACATCTAGCTACAGGTCTGGTAACCACGTCTAGCTACAGGTCTGGTAACCACGTCTAGCTACACGTCTGGTAACCAGATCTAGGTAGGTCTGGTAACCACGTCTAGCTACAGGTATGGTAACCACATCTAGCTACAGGTATGGTAACCACATCTAGCTACAGGTATAGTAACCACATCTAGCTACAGGTCTGGTAACCACGTCTAGCTACACGTCTGGTAACCACGTCTAGACAGGTATGGTAACCACACCTAGCTACAGGTATGGTAACCACATCTAGCTACAGGTCTGGTAACCACGTCTAGCTACAGGTATAGTAACCACATCTAGCTACAGGTCTGGTAACCACGTCTAGCTACAGGTATGGTAACCACGTCTAGCTACAGGTATGGTAACCACGTCTAGCTACACGTCTGGTAACCACGTCTAGACAGGTATGGTAACCACATCTAGCTACAGGTATGGTAACCACGTCTAGCTACAGGTCTGGTAACCACGTCTAGACAGGTATGGTAACCACATCTAGGTAGGTCTGGTAACCACGTCTAGCTACAGGTCTGGTAACCACGTCTAGACAGGTATGGTAACCACACCTAGCTACAGGTCTGGTAACCACACCTAGCTACAGGTATGGTAACCACACCTAGCTACAGGTATGGTAACCACACCTAGCTACAGGTATGGTAACCACACCTAGCTACAGGTATGGTAACCACGTCTAGCTACAGGTATAGTAACCACATCTAGCTACAGGTCTGGTAACCACGTCTAGCTACAGGTATGGTAACCACGTCTAGCTACACGTCTGGTAACCACGTCTAGACAGGTATGGTAACCACACCTAGCTACAGGTATGGTAACCACATCTAGCTACAGGTCTGGTAACCACGTCTAGCTACAGGTATAGTAACCACATCTAGCTACAGGTCTGGTAACCACGTCTAGCTACAGGTATGGTAACCACATCTAGCTACAGGTATGGTAACCACGTCTAGCTACAGGTCTGGTAACCACGTCTAGACAGGTATGGTAACCACATCTAGGTAGGTCTGGTAACCACGTCTAGCTACAGGTCTGGTAACCACGTCTAGACAGGTATGGTAACCACATCTAGCTACAGGTCTGGTAACCATGTCTAGACAGGTATGGTAACCACATCTAGCTACAGGTATGGTAACCACGTCTAGCTACAGGTCTGGTAACCACGTCTAGACAGGTCTGGTAACCACATCTAGGTAGGTCTGGTAACCATATCTAGCTACTCAGTGCCCGTGTCTGATGTTGGTTCATTGAGCCAGTGGATCGCAGTAGAGATTGCCGGTCCCTCTTGATGCTGCATCTACACCAAACGATTACTTGTTTTGTTTTCCAATCTTCTGAGAACAAGTCAACATTTTTTTATTAGACCAACACAACAGAGGACAGTGTGGAGGGAGATGACGATGCTAGAGAAGAAACTCCAGAACTTGTGGAGAATGGACAGGTGAAAGAGGGGCCATCACTAGAGGTGGAAGAGAATGGGGAGGTACCTGAGGCACCAGCGCCACTGGCAACAGACACTGCTGACACATCAGAGTCTCATCAATCACAGGAAAATGATAGGAAAAAAAGCCAGTCACAGAAGGTAAGCTTTCTATACTTGGTGGAATTAGCTTGACTGGGTGATATTTGCACATCTAGTTGTGGCATTAGCATGGAAGGGTGATATTTGCACACCTAGTTGTGGCATTAGTTTGACAGAGATATTTGCACATCTAGCTGTGGTATTAGCATGGGATACTTTTATTTGCACACATAGTTGTGGCATTAGCATGACAGAGATATTTGCACATTTAGTTGTGGCACTAGCTTGACAGAGATACTTGCACACCTAGTTGTGGTATTAGCATGGCGGGCTGATATTTGAACATTTAGGGCATTAGCATGGCGGGCTGATATTTGAACATTTAGTTAGGGCATTAGCCTGGGAGGCTTTTATTTGCACACATAGTTGTGGCATTAGCATGACAGAGATATTTGCACACATAGTTGTGTATTTAGCAAGGTGAGTGACTTACACATACACAGAAGACTTTCACACATACACACACTGGTGAAATATTCTCACATAAAAACAAAAGAGCACACACACTGACTAGTGACTAACACACACACATGGGTGATTTACATGTACATATTCATGAGATGTACACTAGTACACATCCCTTAGACCTGTACACCCTGTTGATCTACACATACACACTTTTTAATACATGCATGCTTGATAATCATAGTCTTTAATTACATGCCTGATGATAATTTATCTTATACACCAAATATAAAAAATGTGTTATATAACACTTTTAAAAATGTTATTTAACTAATACGAAATACCTGTTAAACCATGAATGCATATTATATTAAGGGTTATAAAAACAAAACAAAAAAACCCAATACACCAAGCAAATTAATTGGCGCATGTTGTTTACTGTCCATAATACACTTGGCCATCATGTGTTGTCTTGTTTGGTCTTATTGTGTGTCTCTTGTCTTGTTTGGTCTTATTGTGTCTCTTGTCTTGTGTGTGTGTTGTCCTGTTTGGTCTTAAATGGTGTCTTTTCTATTTTAGTCAGTTGTGATATCTTATTTTTGTGACAACTTATGACATGGTAAATTAGTGACATCGCATTATTATATTCATTATAAATTTGGTTTGTAAATTTGTAACAGAATTCACTAACAGTTGTTTTGCTTTCTTTTGATGAGAGAATGAATTTATAAGGACACTTATATGTTGAGGTACCACTGTAACTTGTCATCTAGACAAAAACATCTCTAACCTCTATTTAATGATAAACAATTAGCAAATCCAGTTCATGATTAGGTCTTGAATTATTCCCTAACCAATCATATTGTCCACTTCCAGCCTAAAGTAATTAGGTCTAGAATTATTCCCTAACCCATCATATTGTCCACTTCCAGCCTAAAGAAAGTTTAAAGTGCAACGTGTGCAAGCGAGGCTTCCCCTCTAGAAACAAACTCTTTGATCACATCAAGCAGACAGGCCACGCCATCAGGCTCGATGCTGCTGAGGTGGAGGAAAAAGAGGAAGAAAAGGGGAAGAAAGGCAAGAAGAAAAACAGGAGATGATGTTAAAGGAGAGTAGAGGACTCTTTTGGTTTTAGATCTTCGCATTTGGCTTAGCTGGGAGCAAAACATTGTAGGACATTGTTACAAAGTTTCTTTAACATTGATCGTTAGCCTGTAGGGTACAAATTTGTTCTTCAACAAATGTTGCCAGTCTCTTTAACATAGATAGTCAGCTTGTAGGATACAAATTTGTTGTGCAACATTTGTTGCCAGTTTCTTTAACATTGATAGTCAGCTTGTAGGATACAAATTTGTTGTGCAACATTTGTTGCCAGTTTCTTTAACATTGATAGTCAGCTTGCAGGATACAAATTTGTTCTGCAACAAATGTTACCAGTTTCTTTAACCTTGATATACATTTGTAACACAACAAATGTCAAGTTTCTTTAATTAGTTAAACATGGGTAGCCTTTAGGAGTTTTCTTGCTAATGTTTTTCTCTCCTATCTTTGACAAAAAGTCTTTCCCAGCTCAACAAAAACAATGCAAATGTTCTCTCAGCTGTGTGCCACTGTTGGCTAGTCATGTCCTGGTGATTGTTGTTTTATCACAGGTTGTGTGAGTCTGTTGTTGGCTGGACTTGTAAATAAACACTTGGGGTATTGGCAGATATGTGTCTGTCTTAGTTTAACTAAGCAATGTTGTGTTAGAAAAAAAAAAGAAAACCAAAGAAAAAACCCACAAAAATTGAGAAAAAAAGAATTGTTTCTTTACATACCTGACTACTTGTGAAAGCATGAATGTAAATAAAATTGAAATAACACATAAACATTAGAACAATTACATCATATTGCATGATAAAGTCAATTAACTTTGTTATATTAACACAATATAAATAAGCTCCAATATAACTTGGAGATTTGAAATAATCAAGGAGCGCAATCTCTAATCAGGGGAATTAACCAAAAATATATTAATGCTAGTCTCTGATACACTAACTAAAGTGGGGTCTGCTAGTCTCTGATACACTAAAGTGGGGTCTGCTAGTCTCTGATACACTCAAGTGGGGGTTACAGGCTGGTCAACTAAGGGCTACAGGCCGGTCAAGTGGGGGCTACAGGCCGGTCAAGTGGGGGCTACAGGCTCTGATACACTCAAGTGGGGGCTACAGGCTGGTCATCAAGCCCCGTGGTCTGCTAGTCTCTGATACCCCTGCTGGTTGAACACTGTCGTAAGATTTGAGCAGAGAGGTGTGAGCGCCTCCTGCTGCATGTTTGTCCAGCATGTGGCCAGGCGGCGTGACCTCAATGTCCAGCTCCTTGAGCCCCTGGTAGCTGGCCTTACCTCGGTACAGGACGTAATGCTGCACTAGGAAGATGGAGTCGTAGATGATGGTCACCACCCCCAGGCCGAACTTGGTCACGTTACCAAAGATGGAGTCCCAGTCGTCTGGGGAGAGAAGGTCAGGGGTTGTTGAAACACTGGGTCAAGGTCATGGCGTGTAGAAACACTGGGTCAAGGTCAGGTGGTGTAGTACCAATGGGTCAAATTAACGTGCTGATGAAACACTGGGTCAAGGTCAGGTGATGTATCACCGTTGGGTCAAGATAGTGTAACAATGTCGAAAGATATTTTTTCCGAAAACAAATGTAAGCAAAAAGGCGAATTTAAAGGATTATTTTATGTACGAAACAAAAAATGTGTCGAAACAAGCAGTTATGATATTTTACACAAGTCTTGTTACACGCACCCCAGTAACCCTCACTAACCCTCACCCGCTTTCGTGGTCGTGCTGAGGTGAGGCCTACGTGTGCCTATCACGTGACCGCCAACCATTTTCCAGACTGTCTCAAATTCTAATAATAGCGATATCATTTAAATAATTTTTTCGTGACGATTCCCATGTGATATGTGCGTTCTGATGCTTGTATGACGGAGGTGAAATTAAAAGTGTGTTGTTAAATGATTAATATTAGTAAGACTACTGTAGTTTGGTTACCACAATTTATAGGGCCAATGCTTGTAAAATGTTCTTGAAATGTTTTTAAACGATCGAAATGTAAATATGTATAGAACCCCCACTCTTGAGGTGGGCGGCGGTTACATAAGAGGACACGTTTCTTAATTAGTCATGCACCCAGTCCAGTCGGCTACCTCCGTCACTTGACCTTAGAGACACCGCCCCATTGTGTCCGTCCAGCAATGTAGACGTTCAGGCTATGTAAATGTACCAACCTCCGTTATAAGCCAATAGAAACATCTGTAAGATACTGAGCCAGCCACCAATGA